ACTCATCCTTCACTTGAGCCCCTCCTCTTAGTTGACCCAACCGAAATCAATCATAAACTTAGTAAAATCTAAAATAGTATCTAACGATCTATTTGTGTTCTAATTATACCTGAAGCTTGTGGATTGATTTAATATTCTTCGACCCTCGATCACAAAATCACAACCCTAAGTAAGATTAAGTAGATTTTTCTGAAAATAAATCTTAGCCAACGAGAAAGTAAAACATCATTCTTTTATATAGATACACTTTCTCGCAAACCTGTCAACCTCGACAATCAATGCCACAAATTAGGCTAACCTCACAACACGCATAAGAATTAACAGTTTAGGTAATACAAAATCTAACCCCTGGATTTTGCAACTATCATCCTAAACCTTATGTATAGAGAAAGTCTAGGCAACAAACAAGCAATAATAGCCCACAATTTTTTAATTCAAAACAAAAGGCATGATCCTCTAATAACGCGACATAGACAAAAAATAAGATATCAAAAAAACAAACAAGAAAAAAAGGAACTATAACAAAAAAAATATTAAACGAAAGTTTTCCGAAACACAAAACGCAGTTTTGAAATCAGACATCACTACAAAACAAGAACTTCGAGGCCTAAAAGTTTCAATCGACAAAAATAACTCAATAAACGAACAATAATGTTTTTTGAAACAGAAACTACAATATCATCATTAATAATAAAAAACTCAAACCTTAGTAAACCGGTACGACTGTACAATTGGAATCAACCAATCAGACACATTAAAAGTTACACATTAACCGCGATAAAAACGGAAAATGTTTCATTACGCCAAAACTTTTGACGATGATTCCGTTCTTCTTTTTGTCATTCAACCACAAAGCAATCCTGCTAGAGGACAAGTACAAGTTTGCCATAATCTAATCGCAAATTTGTTCGAAAAAGGAAATAGCCCATGTAACAAAAGTTTCTCGATGTAAAAAAAGAAGGAAACTACTTGATCACTATCTACCAGCTATTGGTAATATCATCTCACATTACGGAATACTTACTATTGAAATTCCGCCATCACAAACAAATCAAACACCACACCGAATACAAACAGATGACCCAGACTTATAATTCTCTAAGGCTTTCACAGAATTTACTAAAAAATTTCAACACCAAAATTCACAACGAGCAAATTCAGTTTTCCCGAATGATGTTTTCTTCATCATTTATAGTTACATTTCTATATGTATCACCACCTCAAAAATAAGACACGAAATCAACCTTTTCTCACAATTGTAGATGCAATTGGTGAAACACTCGCCGATAATGACATATCACAAATAGTGAAAAATAATCTACAAAGAACCCTTGCATGGTTCAGAGTAGACTATTTTGTACATTATTCAGATTTATTCTTAACAGCAAGAAAAAGTTTCCGGCCACAAACATCAGACGATGAAATTATATTAGCAGACCCAGCAGATCATGTATGGGACCCTGAATGGTCTCATCTATTATTTTTCAAAATACCTACTGATATTAAAAGAGCAACATTGCCACTGTCTCCGTGCACAAAAATTATTTAAGAGTAACTCCAGACACCATTGATGCAACAAGCTTAAATTATTACAAAAATTTAATGATAGAACAATTAATAATTGTTTAAATTCAACATTTTAAGTACACAGGAAACTCTTAATGGAACTAGAAATCGGAAACAACAAGAATTCAAATCCCATCGCACTTAATAAACGAAGAGGTAGTTGAAACAATACCTACAACATCACAACAAAGTATCTCTTCTATTCATCCAACAATTACAACACCATAAAATAAAAATACCCGCGACCCACAAACAGCACTGCAATCAACAGTCAAACCATCCGTTGTTCCAAATTTTTCTCAAATGGATTATCAAAAGTATAGACCAATAATTAAAAGCGACAATCAACCAAACAAAAACACGCTAATAGCAATAATTTCGCAAATCACAATTATGATTTTTTCACAATAGCAAAACCCCTTTGCAAAACACAACATCAACCACAAGAACATAACTACACTCAACAGATACCACAACCAGTTTCCCAGTCAGTATTCTCTAAGGAAAAACGAAAAATTTCAACAGACCGTACTGAAAATTGTGCACTTTTTCACAAAATAAAAAACCAAAACGGCAGAAACTAACTTCCCCCATGGATTTTCACTTGAAACAGAGGCCTCGTGAGTATTAAATTTAATATAAACACATTAAAAAATCAGACAAAACACTCACCATCATTACACGTCTTATTCACAATTCCTTTTTAGATTTCACCAGTCATTAATCGAAAACAATACAAACAAAATAAAAAATCACAAAATCTTTTTATAAATTTTAATTTTTAATCTAACAATGAAACTGAATTATCCAAGTGCAATAAATTTCAAAGCCATTGCATTAAATTAAAATTTCTGTAGTGAAATTCAAAAGATACGAACTAGTAAATTAGTAAGATCCAAATAAATTACAAGAAACTAACCTTTTTATGTGTGCTTCTTTTATAACTCGATATTTGTCATTTGCATCTTGTAACCACATTTCCCACGCTCTATCCACCAATTCGCGCACCTTGCCGACGTAGAATTGTTCAATAAGTGAATTTTAAATTTTAAAAACAACAGATAACAACTCTAACTTGATTTCACGCGTTTCAAAATTTCTTTTCCCCCGGCTGGAAGGAATTATAAGTAAGCTTAAATTAACCAACGCCGCCTACTGATACCACAAAACAAACTGCAAGTATAAGACAGTCCCAGGCTACTCCGACCAGATTAAACCCAGATTAATACTGGATAAATTATTCTGTTGACAGCCATTTTCAAGTTTCATTGAAACCACTTGAAACACTAAAAACTCAAAAGGAAAACCTAAAAGACGACAATCTGTTTTTGATAAAAAGACACAACCAAAAATAGAACAAAGAAAGAAACACCTGATAAAATAGAACAAGAAGTTACACAAAAAGAGACTGCTCAAAGAGACGGAACAATTTTGACCCCTCAACTTGCCTCGTCGCCCAGTAGGACATCCTGAGCATGCTCTATAGCCGGCCTAACCCACCGGGCTACAACCACGCTTACGACACGCACTCAGTTTTTGACGAGAGTTGCTCTAGGGTGATCGACTCTTTAAAACAACCGAAACTAAACAAAAACGCTTTTTCGAAATCAATGAATAAAAATCATTACTAAAACTGATCTCACTAACAAGATATAGACTTATTATGCAATTTAAGAAAAATTTTTAGAGCAAACGGAACGAACAGCAAAAGGAGATGAAATTTCGACTACATTCCGCCTCTGAAATGGCAAATCTATTGGTCTGTTGCCGTAGTCACAACTCTCATAGGATTTGAAGTATAGACCCAACATTGCAACAAAGGAACCTATTGCAGAAAAACAATGGCCAACTCGATATTGACTTCACATACAGATCCTAGTCACTTGGCGCTTCACACAAAAAGGTCAAAACTTCATCTTGCACGTAGTCTTGCTCTAGCTTTACAAAATCGACGCATCATTGCATCAATTTGAAATCTTGACACAGCCACTCAAGACGATCTAGGATAAAACGAGACCCACTTCTGGAACACGAACAATCGCCATTCTTCTCTCCTGGAAAACAACTACATTTCTCCTTCCTTCACGCAGTCACTGCTTCAAAAAAAAGATTCCGAAAAAGAAAGAAACCTATCCATCCATCCCTCACTACAATAAACAATCTGAAAACTAAGAAATCTTTAAACCCCGAAGTTTTTTTAACCAATTATATTCTTGATAAAATTACCTCTAAAAATGTTTCTGACAAACAATAATGATCCATAACTAACATTGACATTTATTTGTAATGCTGAAACTACTGGTAGTTTCAGCACCAGAACAATTGAAATATAACTTAGAAGACAGTTATTCTCCTTTGGAACAAGTTCCAGATACCTAACCCGCAAATACCAGTATACATTAGATCTATTGAGATAGGAGTTATAAGAGTAAGGTTAAGATCGATTTAGTCTAAGAAATTGCACGAATATATCCGGCCGAAAAAAGGATAGCGTGACGAACAGACGGTGTACCTTATCTGAAATTACTCTATGAGTAAGCTACTCCAGGCATAAATTTGTAAGCAAGCTTGCGAAGGCTTCGCATGACTACGGCGGTCACTATTGGTTCGGCCAATATAGCAACTTCAAGATAACGGTTGGATTTTTTTGCCCAATAATGTCGGATGTTTGCCCTGATTATGTTGTTTTTCGGAATTTTTGAACTCTTTTTGGTTGTTTCGAATGTTTGAGATATCGGAAATTTGCACGACACCCCATTAGATTGATAAATCAAGATATGGAGGTGGCACTGTGTTTATTACATCGCCAAAATAGATCACCTCAAATTTGGATCCTAAATGTTGAACATAAAAGTTCATTGAAATGTGCCTTTAAAAACATTGAAAAATTTGGGTAATTGTTTTTCAAATATGTTAATGGAGTTTTCAGTTCAGCTTAGTTGATCAATCGGGACAAAAGATCGACTCCAGCTAAGCGTCCCTACAGTTATTGTCTGTGAAAGAAGCAACTGCTGTTTCAGTCTCATTTCAGTTTAAAATAACTTTGATAAAAAACATCACTTTTCTGGCCGACTGAGCTTCAAATGTGAGCAAACTTAGTTTGACTGCATTTGTGCAGCCAGCATACATTTCAGTCTGTACGGTTGTCATTTATAAGCAGTTGGTTCAATTTATAACCAGTTTTGACTTAAAATTTCAATAACTCCTGATGCTTTTATATAAAACATCCATATTTAGTCACCTGATGCGTGTTTTGATGGAAAAAAATGTTCACATTTTTACAATAATAAATTCTATAACATAAACTACATAGAAACTACTTGGTAAGTTTCAATCGCTCTTATATATACATTTTTTCAGTTACATTTTTGAAAGTATGTTTTTAATGGTTAAAAGTGAAGATAGGCAACAGATGTCGGCATCCCACAAAACAAGTCGTGCGCATATTGCGAGCAAACAATGGCGCCATTGATGGTAACTTTTTAAAATTACACACAATGTTACCACTTTTTTATCCTAATGTTCTTCCATTTATTTCATCAACCAAATAATCTTAGTTGGAGATGGAATGAATTAGCCGGTTTCCATTGTTTTAGCTATTATTGCAAAATCTTATTGTTATTAAAAAAAATCAGTTCAAAAAAGTTCTATTGTTCAAATTCCAACTGTTTTCGACCGATTTCGATTTTCCCCCAAAATAGATTTTCACTCTCTCATCAATTTTAATGTCAAATTTTCTCCAGAATTAATAGTTTTACTTACGCGTTGAAATTTTTTTTTGCGAAAAAAGTTGAAGCTTTTTGCTTTTGCATCGTTTTTATACAAAACTATCCCTTTTATACGATATCAACAGTTAATTTCTTTATTGATACCCATTTACCATACTTTCGCCCCAATTAAGACTTTTTCGTATAAACTTATAAATTTTCTTTTCATATTCATATACTATTTTTTTTATTCGCTTGTTAGTTTTAGTTCGCACATGCATAATAATTATGAGATTTACAATAATAAATTATGTCATTGGGTAGATTCGAACCCTCTACTATTATCATATACGCATGGAAGAGAGTATAGCAACGGAGCGCCTGGAGCAGTTTTTCAACCTCTGTGATCGAAATGGGTCCGGGTTCATCGAGGACGAAGACTTGACAGAGCTATGCGACGAGTTAAATCTAGACCACGGCACGATTAAGGCAGACATAGTTTACCATCTAATATATTTTTATCAAAGTGATCGTAATTTTGGCACTTTAACTTCACATAAGCATCAATTTTATGGTGAAACGAGGGGTCTTTATAAGGTTAGGTATGAAGACCAAATATGGTCAGCCTAATTAGTCCGCATGCCATTTTTTGTATCAATAGGACAATGTGAACAGAGAAACTATAAGTGATACTTCGCAGGAGGGGGAGAGGGGGTGGGGGTTGGGGGGTACGGTTCGGGAGGGAAAAAAGCCGTTGTTTTCTATAATTTTGCAAAACTCATCAAATTTTTTGGCTCTATTTCTTTTTTTGGTGCTTAGGATAAAAAGCGTCGACCTGAAAAAAAGTCCACAATAATTCGCGCTCTTTTTCCCACCTCACATAATTACCATTTTAATGGAGAAACGAGGAGTCCTACAGGGTTAAATATTCAGCCCAAATATGTTAGTCGTGGCCTAATTAGTCCACATACCAATTTTAGTAAAAATCGGATAATGTGAACATGAAAACTACTTAAAAAATTTCGCAGGCAGGGAAAAAGGAAAAAGAGCCTATTTCGTTTTTTTAAGCCATACCCATGACTGAGCAAAATCTTAAAACAGATTTCAGGCTTTTTAAACCCCCTCCCCCATACTTGAACAAAATTTTTGCTCATGCAAGGTGGGGGGGGGGGGGGGGGTTAAGAAGAGCCGAAATTAAGTCTATGCTAGTATTTACGCATTAAGTAATTCAAATATGGTCATCCCTGTCTGCATGAAGGGTATCTTTGCGCCCTTGGATCAGAAGGGGACTGGGAAGATATCGCAGGAGCAGTTCATAAATGAGTTCGCCCACATCCAGCAGATATTCTGTCCGGGTGAAGACTTCTGTGGGGGAGCTCAGAATGGGGCCAATGAGTCGAATGGACCCCCCTCTCCAGGTGAGAAAACATAATTCAAAAGCTTCCATTTTATTACAATGTAAAATGATAACGTAGTTTTGCCATTACTCATCCATCATATTTAAATATCAATCTAGTCGCTGTTTGTAAAACTCTGATTAAATTTAACTCATAGATTCTCAAATTTAATATTATTTATGACTTACTTTACTTATGTGTGATTGTCAAAAACTAAGAAGAAACTAAGAAAAAAATTGTTCTCGCAGATCTTGCAAGTTACAAGAAAATCATCAGCTCATGGCAAATATTTTCAGGTGTCTGTATTCCTAGCAGCAGTCTGTCTAAAGTCTATACTAGCAGAGAGTGCTTGATTGAATTAACCACAGGTAGTTTATTGTTGTTTATGTCTTCTTGAATGTCTTTTAGTTATGAGGCGTTGTTGTTACTTCTGTTGTAACTGTAAACTTTTTTGATGGTAGATTGTGTTTATTTTAATTTTAATTTATACTTAATTTCGTTAAATATAATTTCAAGCCAGAAACTTATAACCAAACTTATACCCTAACTAATGTTTCTTCTTGTAGTTGGATAGGTATCTTTACTCTAAATAACGAATGATCCGCTTTATTCAAAATATATGACACACATTGGTTCTAAAGGTTCGTGTTTGATTAGGAAATATTTACTTAAGTTAGATTTCATTTTTTTCGTAGGTTGATCAAACTTACGCTAACACGTGATATAACTCTGATGCATATGAAACTCAAAAAAAATTGCTGAAAAACAAATCAGACTGCTCATTTCAGGGCAACGCTCTGGTTCTTCTGACTCCAAGTTTTTTGAAGAAACTCTGATTAAAGTTTTAGATAACAGTTTAGAAAACATTCAAAAATCCTACCACATCTAATATAGAGTATAAAGGAAAACATTTTGCATCCATCAAAACCTTATACATTATTTGGATCAATTAGCGTGCCTCAATTAAATTTAAAAAAAAATAATTTCTGAGCTGAATAACATCGTCACATTTGCTATTCGCTGATGATCAAAAGAGTCTCTATTTCAAACCCTCTGGATTTTAAGAAAAGAAAATCTCAGTTGAAATATACATATACAAATATATACATTTTCAAAATTTGAGTCAAGCATCAATATTTTTCAAAATGTGTAGAAAAATTCCGTCAAAAAGGTCTGGTTAGAAAATCGAAGAAGGCCTGGGGAGAAAAACCACCCTAGCACAAGCATTCTGTAACAAAAACAACTTCATAAGAAACATAGCTGTCGATACGCACAAGGCTAGAAAAGACGGCCCATATAAGTATTACATCAAACTAATGCTGAATAAAATTCCTATAAGATAAACCCTATGTTTGTATTTGTAAGTTTTACTTTGTTTCAATCAACAGAACTTATCAAAACTTCAACGAAAAACAAAACGCAAATAAAAAATAGTTTCAAATGTTTTTATTAGGCTCGAAACTTATCACGCAAAGACATCATGTAGATGAAATCAGTGTCATCTCTGTGCCACTTTATGCACAACGGTTACAACTATAGAGTGTATATTGCTTCCCGTGAGTGGTTTTTCACTTCAGATTCGTTTTTTAATACTGAAAAGAAAAAATTGCTGTTGGTTTTTAATTTTGGCGTGCAAAAGTCAGAAGACCAAATGAAAACAAAAATTGATTTCTTGTCTGGTTTTTTGAAATTCTGTTAAATCTGCATGCTTTTATTGAGTTTATGCCACGTTTTGAGTAAGGTTTTTGCATAGATTTGAAGTTCATAATGTAAATTTTGAAAAATAAGTCTTGGAGTTTTTCTATCACTTTTTTTGCTAGTTAAAACTAACAATTTTGACAGTTTATGATTAAGGTTAATGGTGTAAATTGTTATTTTTATACGCTTTTTTCTGAAGCAAAATTTGATTAAGCCAAACTCAAATATTCAAGTTTTTGTTTCCGGCTTCTTACGCACAGCGCGTACAATATCGTGTAAAATAAAGGTAATGATGATGAACAAAAATTTAAAAACCAAATTTTTTTAGAAGTGAGTTTTCAAATGGAGAGTTTCGAAATTAAATTTAGAAAAATCAATTTTTAATCTTATTACAAAGTCAAATGGCAACAAAAAAAGAAAGTCGACAGTATATGGACTTATACTTGTAAGTAATGGTGTTTCAACAATTGCATATATACTTTTTTACAAAATTCTATTTTAAGTTGTCTTTGTCATGTTTTTACTTAAATTGATTAAAGTTTTCAGCGTTTTTGGTTACCTCTTGACACATACTTTGAATAGATTTATGAAACATAGGTTGAATTTCTGCAAAAACAAAAATGTGAAGGCAAGATCTCTCATGAAGATTTCGAGCAAAACAAAAAAAAAGAAAAAAGTTCGAATTTGCATTTTGACTTAATTTTTTTCCAAATCACTTTAAAAATTTAACTTTGATAGATTAAACTTAATTGCGGGGATTCAAGACATAAATAAACTGCATTTGGAGGTTTTTCGTGTACATTTATATATTAAATTTAAGAAAACTATACTGAAAAAATGTGCATTGAAATTTTGAAAAAATGTAAGCGTTTTAATCAGCAACTTTAATAAAAAATTATTCGCTAATTGTAATAGTTATTAATTTTTTAACGATAAAAGTTGCAAATCAGTTGTTTAATGAGTTTTGCTATTCTGCTGGAGCCATGAATGTTCGTTGCTATTAATGGAAATTTTGTTGGTTGTTATATTTGCAAAACTCCCCAGTTGTAAAACTTGACTTGATAAAAATTAGGTTTTGAAATAGAAACACAATTGAAAATAAATTTGTTTGAAATCTGTATTTTGAGAATATTTTTTGCTGTTTTTGAACTGACACATGCGACCACGATGTTTCTTTTAGGTTAGCATAAATAAAAATCATTTTTTCACATTTCTCTATTCCTTTTTTGTCTTGAAATAAGTAGCATCTTGCGTAACATAATCACATCTTCTAATTGCAAATTTTTCGACTGTTTTGCAAAATGATTTTCAACGAGCATATACTTACACAAGGCTCAAAAAAATTTCAACAATTTTTTTGTCGAACAATATACTGGGGCTACTTTTATAGAAAATCCGTTTTCAACTTTGAATTTTCACGAAAGAAGCTTCAACTTTTTTTTTACTTCCATCTGTCTGACCCCTCAGCATTGATCTAAATTGGCGCATATAGAAATCGCAAAAATTGTTGAGAGTTTCTTTTTGATAACTTTAAGATAACGCCAGCCAATTTGAAATTCAGACAGTTCAGCTCAAAGTTTACAGACGATTCAGCCAGAGATAGTTCTGCCAGATATTCAAAACGCTAGATTCGAAAGAAAAAAATTGGATTTGGAGTTATTTTTTGGCTTAAGGTCGCCGTCGGAGCTTAAGGTTGCCTGAATTTTGTATAGAATCCCACTCATTACTGACAAGCTCGCAACACATTGGCATGACTGCAATGGTCACTATTATTGGCTGAATTGTCTCTGGCTGTTTTGTCAGTATACTTTTGGCTGAATTGTCTGAACTTCATACCAGCCGAATTTTTTTTGACCAACAAGATATCTGGACGCGTTCATGTCATCACTACAAAGTCGAAGTTGTACAAATAATTTGTTTTGACCTCCGTTCGGGTTTTAGTACACTCAAAGTTGATCAACCGAAACGAAGTTCAATTCTGAAAATCAATTCTGAAAATCAATGACCGAAAATCAATTCTGAAATTTCGAGCAAGTACAAGGAAATAAAACACGTCGGGCGCCTTTATTGTCTGGTGCGTGGCACCAACCGCTTCAATATGGTTATTTGCTCGAACCAAATCTTTTTAACTATCCAAACTTCTGAGTCGAAAATTATTTTCCTTTTCCTATTGCGAAAGCGAGGATAATTGTTTCATAAAACAGTAAATCTACTAAAACTGCATAAAAAGGCACAAACTTTGGAAAAATTGTTAAAACAGGTATTTTCGTCAATATTAATGTGGTTGAAGTAGTATGTGCTACTTGCAGAACAGGCTTCTCTTGTTTCTTTTAAGTGCTAGATCAATTTTGTGCCAAGTTTGGTGGAACTTAAGTATGGTTATTACAAGGAAAAACCAAAAACTTTTAAGAATGAATGAAAATGAGCTTATTCAATAACTACAAATATCGATCGCAAAGAGAAATAAATTGGTTAAAAATTAAGACAAAGGATTTTGACACATGTTGCGATCCTCCCCTGAGCCGGTTTGAGGGGTACATGAGATTACATTCATCAACTTGTTCCTGAGTGCCGTTAATGAGTGTCGCAGATGGTATGAAATTGTTATGTCATAATCTTTTAGCCTGTTTCTATTTGAGTGTTGTTCAAAAAATCAAATTAGTGGAGTTTTTATTCCAGTTATGGAAAAAAGTGGCACGTTTCTGGTATATTTTCGACGAGCGAAAAAAAAACACTTCGTTCTGTAGCCACCACCACGTTCATGAACATAGTTTTGAATATTGAGCGAGGCTGATAAATTTGTCTTTTATGGTGACTTTTTTGACTGTTTTGACCCATTCGAATGTCTCAATTTTCTAGGTCAGATAAAAATCATTGCTATCCTCGACTTTGCTCGGACCAACTTAGATATGTTTCAAAGAATTTAGATGGTTTATTTTCTTGATCGAATGAAAACTGAGAATGGAAGCTAAGCATGTTGCAATTATGAAAATTCTCGGGTTGAACAAAGTTTCTAGTCAATAAATCAAAGATTTCCTGGTCTACAATTTCAAATAAATCCATATATACAGAAAATTATATGAAACCTCTACATTTTTTATATATAAAAACATGACAAGCATCTGTTCCATAATTCAGAGAAGTATTATTTTTGAATTTCGCTTCGAAAGTTTTGTGTTTTGTTTGACCAAGAAAAACCAAAGATTTTCTTTAGTAAAAACCCACTGGTTAAGTGGAACTAATCTCACCATACCAGTAAACTATTAATCTAGGCTAAATTGCTAAATTTTGGCCTGACTTATGAGAAACCTCGTAATGATTGGTATATGAGGGTAAATTATTGGGACATGTATGTAACTTTAAGATGTAACTTTAAGGACATCCACTAGTAGAAAATTGTGGCTTGTTTTTTTATAGATCAAAATTTATCTCATTAGGTGAAACAATTATATGGTCTGAAAATAAATATGAATTGACTCAAACCATTCGCATTTATATTTGTGTGGAAAGAATTCAGTCTGGACTGTTTTATAGACAAAAAAAAATTTTCAGGTTTTTTTTGGAGAGGTTTTATTCGAGAATACAACTGATTTGGCGACAAAAGCGTTTTAATTATAGAAATTGTATCACAAAATTTTAAAAAAAAAATCAAAAATCTCCCAAATGTAGAGATAAATTGGTTTAAGTTTTTTCATTATTGGTCTAATTTCGAGCAAATAAAACGAGCGAATAGACTTAGTATAGGCAAGTAAGACAACAAAACTCAGTTTTATTCAAAAAATTTATGATTTTAAAATTTAATTGAACGCCTTTTTGACAACAAAAAAATCCAAAAAAAACCTGCAAAAAACTTGTGTTTTAAATATTTTCTTTTTCGATTAACTTTATGGTAAAATTGTTGTCAAATATGTGTATTCTATTTGTACTATCGAATAAACTTTTTTCCTGTATTCTCGTTCAGATCCTCTCATAGCCTAACGATCAATAAAACAACATAATTTGCAAAAAAAAGGAATTTTTTTGATCGGAATTTTCTGCGCTAAATGCACAGCAACTGGTTATCCTTGTTGTTTTAATGAAAAAGTATGACAACCATATTTTCGTGTATGGAGCTTCTCTGAGACTTGCTCCGTAAAATGAAATGCATTTCAAAAATTTTGACATTAAAGATCTCGCACTGGAGTTTCATGGGAAATAATCGATTATAAGGGATTATATAGCAAAAAACTTAACCCATATAATCGATTTTCATGACCCATCCAACCATAAAAATGGAATTTTAGGGAATCATAATTGATTATTTTCAATATTTAAAAATCCATTATAATCGATCATTTTGACAATATTCTGCAATTTTACAACCCAAACAAACATGTAAATCCCAAACCTAAAAACAACTTGTAAAAAATTGTCCCCCCTCCTACCACTCCAAGTTTACCACCCCCCTAACTTATTCCTCCACATTTTACACCAATCACCTCCCCTACCCCCACTACTTAGCCTACCACCACCACCTCATCTGCAACTCCCCCCCCCCCCCACACCCCACGGGTTTCGACCGTCCCACTACCGCCACTCCCCCTCGTTTACCCCCCCCCCCCCCCCCCTCCTTACTTGGGTGTATAAACAGGCCAGTTGCCTGCAACCACTTTCCCCACAGGAGGTGGGTTAAACATACACCCAAGTAGGGGGTGGAGGTATTCCGTTTACCATCCCCCCGGCCTCCAACCATTAATTACCCCCCTTATTCAAGTGAGCGTAGAGGGGTAGTGGGCGGGGAAGGGGCAAACCGTAATTGTTACTATGTCGACGGTCAAAAATTAACAGTTGAATAAAATGTTAAACTGCCAATTTGAAAAAGAAGAGAAATTTAAATGAATAAAATTATATGTGAAAAAATTAAGTTTATGAAACGTAATCCGTAGCAACTGCACAAAACAGGAAGTGAGATAACTTGCCAATATTGCAAAATTCACCAATAATCACTTAAAATTCCTTTATAATTGATTATAATCCATTATAACGGATTATTGATATAAAAACTAATATGTTTATAATCCGTTTTTATTGAATTGTAATCGATTATAATTACTTATAATGAATTTTTTGATACAAAAAAAGTTAGAAGTATAATCCATTTTTAATAGATTCTAATCGACTATTTATGTAATTTAATGGATACTGACTATAGATTGAAAATAAACTCGTTTATTATCCATAAAACTCCAGTGCAGGATTTTACTGAAATACTGACGAGTCATTTAAAACTTTAATTGCGTTTTTTTTTACGTTAATGGAAAATTAATTTTGGTGAACCCGTGTTTTTAATTGTTTGTGTGTAAATTGGCAACCAAATATGTGCTTCAAAAATTTTTGTACCTTTCAAAAGAGAATTTAATGACCGGCATGACAACACAAGAAGTTTCTGCAATGCCTGATTTTGGTAATAAATTAGGATTTGATATTCGGTCTAAAAACAATTAAAAATTAATATCAATGACAACTAGATTTATTGGAAATGAATACCAAAATTATTTTTCGCCTGAATATGGCGGCTTTTTTGCCCGAGGCCATCTTCAACTATGTTCTGACTGTTGAAGAGTATGTTTTTTATGTTCATGTATGTGAGGGAAAGATGCCGGAAAATTGTGAAAAAGCCCGGAAAATTGTGAAAGAGCCCGGAAAAGTGCGCGAAACTATGCACATGATTTCTTTTTTCATTCATGCGTTCTAATATTTTGTTTTTCATTCATGCCTTGTCGTGAAAGAACATGTGTGAAAGAGCAGAAACATACTCTTCTTGATTTTAAAATATGATAAAAAAAACTGTTTTAATTCTTTGAAATTCATTGAAAAAACCACATTAAAAAATGATCAAGCGAAACTATTCTGGCATTTTCTTCAAAAGTTGGAATGAAAGGAATCCATTAAAATAAAACGGCCAACTCGGTTATTTTTCTTATTTTTATCATTTTCTAATGAATCATAGAAAAAATCCGAAGCTATGACAAAACAAAAGTAGATTTTCGTCACCCCAATTGTGAGTTACAACATGTGTTTGGCGCAGTTGATAACTGCTAGCAAAAAATATCAATTACACTGTAATTTCAGACAACTTCAATTTGCATAAAATTTTGCTCCATTTACATATTCGCATATACAATAAGCAGTGGAATTGTTTTTTTAATGATAGCAGTTAAGTGATGAATGCTTATATAACTTGCTGAAATACGTCAGCAATATGTATCAAAATTCAATCGAACTTGAAGACTTCCTTTGCTCAACAGAAACGGAACCCCACTACAAAAGACGAAGTTCAGTCGATTTCACATCTAGCAGACACTCTTCAAATCTTACGTCATCATCGCGCGGATCATTACGTAACTCCAAGTTTCGCAAACTGCAAAACAGCTCGGAGGAAACGTTTAGTGACTCATTCGACATGGATGATTACGCAACCTTACGCAGCTCGTGTAGTGCGAGGATGAAGGATATCGGTGTGAGTTTGCGGGGGCTGCCCTCTTTGGGGGGCGTGGGTGGGGGAGGGGGAGGGGGAGGCAATGAGGGGCAGTTGCAGGGGGTGATCATTGGACTGGTAAGTCAGCTGCAGCAGATGGAACAGGAAGTTGAACAGCTGTCCGACTCCATGAGGAAGTTAGTATCTTTATTTGTCTTTGTTTTCAAAACCTTTCTAAGGAATATACTTTTTTGAAAAAAGTAAAATTTCTGAAGTTTTATTTTCAATAAGCCTTCACAGCCTTAGAAGCAAAATGTTGCTATAGTTAATGCGGATCTAAGGTCGACTAAATTGATTTACCGAGCTCTCCCAAAAATCTAAAAAGCTCATTTTGAGAAAATTTTCTGCGTAAATATATACATACATACATACATATTTAAAAACCCGAATATATTCAATCTTACATACATACATATACATACATACATACATGCAACGTACATACATACACTCAACATTACATACATACATACATACAAACATACATACATCAGTAATAAAATCTGTAATTACATACCTAACTACTAACATATATACTCACATCCAAACATACATACATATAACAAAATGCTTACAGTGATATCTTTTTAGCGATCAAAATCTAATTGACGGTCGAAAACTTGTCAAAAAATTTTTGACAGTCGAAACGTTTTGGTCCTCGCTCGAACACATTCAAAATGTTTCTTTTTCTCGGTCGAAATTTTTCTTGGTCGAAAATATTCTTCGGTCGAAACGTTTTTACTCGGTCGAACTTGGTAAAATGTTTTTCTATAAAAACAAAACATACAAAGTTTGAGTCGAGTCGGTCAAAACATATCGAGCTTGGTTCGAGACGGTCGAAACATACCATTTTTTGGCCAAGTCGGTCGAAACATAAATCACAGACCTCGACCCGTGTAACCGAATACTTTGGGACACAAGATAGGCAAAAACGACATTTTCGGGCACTTTATTTTGACCCAAAAAATGCGCTTATCTCAAAATAAGTATACATTGGAATTGAAGCCGAAAGCGCCTTCATTAAATTTTTAGCGCGTATCAGCTAAAAATAGATTTCGTGAAATAGTATCAAAGGGGGGACTTTATGGTTGGTCAGGGGTCGAATTTTTGAGAGATAGGAGACATCCGCCCTTCACCCTTAAATCCGCCACTGAGTTTGACGAAAATTTCAGATTTTGCAAAACCCAATTTTTGAAAAAAAAATGGTCTTTTCTCTTAACGACATTGATAGTTTCTACAAACTGGCATTTCCCTACCATAAATTTTTAATGTCCTTGTTACCTCAAACTATCTCGATCATTTTATTCCCCGGTTTATTTGTGCATGATGATATTTCTTCTGTTTGTTCACAGGTCTACTAGGAAACACAGTGACGTCATCAGTCATCTGCAGGAGGAGATGGAACACCAGATTTCCAGGGCTGAGAAGACAGCTTACAATCTAGCCGACGAGGTAACTTTTTTAGCACGAAACTTATTTAAATTGAAATTAAAAATTAATGTATTACAGGCAAACACGACTCAAATTATAACTTTTTGCAAATTTTTTTTCAAAAACATTTTTATTTTGAAGAAGCACAGGGGCGGATCTAGGATTTTCTCGAGGGGGGGCGGATTTTCAAAAAAAATTCGAAAATTTTGACGACCTTTTTTTTTTGTTTTAGGTCGACCAAATTGATTTTTCGAGCTCTCCCAAAGCACTTTTTTGCCCCCATTTTGGCTAAATTTTCTGCGCCGCAGGCAAGTTTTTGAAAAAACAGTCAAAAAAGCCGTTTTTGGGCACTTTTTGAAAAATTTTGACAAAAAAATCGCGTTTTTTTTGGCGCGCGCTCCCCCTCAAAGTTAGCATATATTGGCGCCAAAGGCGCCTTTAGAAAAATTTTAGGTTCGATCGGCCAAAAATGAATTTCTGAAAAAGTATCAAAGGGGGGACCCTTTGGGTCGGCAGGGGGTCGAATCCCTGAGGGCAGGGGCGTCCGCCCCCCCCCCCCCCACTAAATCCGCCCCTGAAGAAGCACCAAATTTGTGAATAAAAATGTGTTAATGTAGTTTTTTGTAATGGTTTTGTGTTTCTGTTTTTGAATTACGGTTTGTGTTTATTTCTATTTAATTTTTAAGAAGCACAAAGTATATTTTTATTTTGAAGAATTTTAAAACAAAAGCGTTATTGTGCTTTTTTGTACTGTTTTTTTTATATTACTAAATTAAATTTAGGTTTACTATTTAGAGATAGATTGATTGGAAAATGGTTTAATAACAGTTGATAACATTGATTAAAGGTTATGAAAGTATTCGATAAAAATGACAACAAGGTTTAAATATTATGAAAGAAAAGCGGTTATATTTAAACCTAGCATGACCTCAAATTTCAGGCAGCCACTTCGAAACAGCGAGAAACAGAACAACGCCTCGAGTGCGAAATCCAGACACTCAAAGAGAAACTGGACGAGTACAGAATCCTAGAGGAAAAACTGAACCGAGAAAGACGAATGACCGAACAGAACTCACAACTCAAAAAACAAATTGAGAGTCTATCCATGGAAAACGTGCAGTTGAAATCCTGTGTGTTGGACACCCAAACTGGAATTGCCGCTCTTAGAGCCGAAATGGCCAAAATGAACAACAAATTCGAACAGCAGCAAATGTTGATAGCTCAAGAAAAAGAAGCTGCCCGAACTTACCAAGAAGAAGTCGTGCATTTGTCTCGGAAGTTAAACACGATGCACGAATCGAATAAACGACTCCACGACACGAGTGACGAGTTGACCTTCCAGTTGGAGCAAAACCAGTCGGCAATTCGGATTTTGAGTCGTTCGGCGTCGCCTAACTCGCATTTCTCTCGGCGTTCGTGTGCGAGTGACGAGGCGTCGTTGCAAGCAGAGTTGGCGGCGGCTGCGAGGAGGTCATTTAGTTGTCACACAGGGAAGTTCGGTGGAGACTTTAACGACGAGAGCGATTCGGGAAGGTCAGTTTTTCAAAAAATCATCTAGCAGTTTAATACTCTCAGAATTATTTTTCAAATCAGCTTCGAATACCTAATATTCAAGCATAACTCATATATTTTTTTTGCAAGAAAATTTTATTAATTTGAAGTACCTTACTTTGTTCAAAAAAGAAGTGCGGATTTTTTAACAACATGTTAAGATCGAAAAAATTTCTTTTCAAACTGAAAACACCATTCGATTTATGAAGACATTCGATAGGCAGCTAACTGGCCTTTTTGGTGTTCTTCCAAGATGGGAAGTTTTTTATTGTTGTTTTGAGTTATGTAAATAACAATCAAGTCTGTTCCTTCTTGAAAACGAATTTAATATTATTATAATTATTGTTATCATAAAACAATTGTTAGAATGCAAAATATGGATGAGGCGAAACTTGAAATCAAACTTTATTTGGGTTTAGATATAGCCTAGTAGGCTCTGGTTTTGCCAGTCAAGTGAATCAATACAACCGAAATAACCACAACAATAACAACTTCTACGACAACGAAGACGAAATATTCTCTGACATCGTTAGACCAGAAGACAGCATCTCCATGGTCAACTGTCGGCCCAGTGATCACCCTAACAACTCAATGACGTCATCATCATACCGTATGTCCAATGGATACGACTCAAACCGAGTCGAAGTGGACGATGAGCTGGCGTCTCATCAGCCTACAAATGAGAGCGGTCGACATGCTTCCTTAAACGAAGAAATTCAAATGAGTTCGGAAAACCGAGAGTACACTTCGGAAATTTATAATCGCAAAAATGGAGGTCGGCTGAAGCCCTTGAGTTTAGATTGTTCAGATCAAAGAATTGAAACTATGCCGATGACTTCTCCAGCCAGACACGAGAACTTAGTTCCGCTCAACGACCATAAAAACACTGCACGTTGTGATTCAAACGACACTTTAAATTCAGAAATGTCACAAGAAACTATTTTAGTGAAGCCACAAAAGTCACAAATAGTTGACGAAGAAGATGTTTTAGACGGTTCAAGATGTAGTGAAATTGCCAATTTACTGCTAAGCCCCCAAACTGAACATGGAAACACCCCAACTGCGGAAAATAGATCCCATTTCTCGTCAAGTCCGGTTCATTTTTCAAAGAACAAAGCGCACGAGGAGCTGAGAAAGAAGTTGGAACCTAAAAATAACCATCAATATGCCCAAGAAAGACAGTACAGGGTAGTGCTGGCCGGCGATGCCGCGGTCGGCAAAAGTTCCTTCATCTTGCAACTTTGCACCGGTTATTTCCATAACAGGATAACGTCAACTTTAGGAGTTGATTTCCACACAAAAGCTTTCGATATTGACGGAAAATTGACAAACTTGCAGCTTTGGGATACGGCTGGTCAAGAGAGGTTCCGAGCGATGGCCAAAAGTTACTTTCGAAGAGCGGACGGCGCCATTTTGCTTTATGACGTCACATTTGAACAGTCGTTCTTGCACGTTCGTGATTGGGTGGAGACAATTGAATCGGGAGCCAATAGGAAGATCCCGATTATAATCTGTGCGAACAAGAGTGACTCTATTCCCGAGTGTATTGAAAAAGGGATTCCGTATGTGCCTAAAGAGGACGGAGAGACACTTGCCAGGACTTACGACGCCACCTTCATCCAGGTATATATTCATAAACGTAAATGAAAGGCTTTTTTTTCAGTAAAATTTTAGAGATGATGCTTCGGCGCGTGAGTATTTTTGATTCGAAGCTCGTTTCTTTAGATTAAATCTTTAGGAACATTTTAAGCTTTAGATTATGAAAATTAAATTAAATATATCATCTAAAAAAGTTAACTTCGAAACAAAAAATCCTCACACTCCACAAATCATCATTTTCATAAGAAGTCGGGTTGAAGATTCGTTGAGCGAAAAGAAATTTGCCAGCAGTTTGGCATTAATTGTAAATATCTTTTTAAAAGGTGTCGGCGAAAGAGGGAGACAATATATTGGAGGCGATGATAGAATTGTCCAGACAGCTGTGGATTGCTGAGGACGAGGAGAGATCCAATGGACTCAAACTAACTAAAGAAGAAGCCGAAAAAGACGAGGGCAAGTGTTGCAAGTGAACAAAATAAGCTCGAAAACGAAACAAAAAACACGACAAGAATTCCAGCTGATAAACTAGAAGTAGCCAGGTCAAGTATTCTATCGGTCGGACTTATGAATGATTGCATCAGATTTGATGCACCAGGGGCGGATCTAGGATTTTCTCGAGGAAGGGGGACGGATTTCATAAAATTTCAAAAAGTTTGTCGACCTTTTTTTTTGGGTCGAACAAATTGATTTCCCGAGCACTCCCAGAACACTATTAAAACCCTATTTTGACCAAATTTTGCACCGCAGGAAAGTTTTGAACAAAAACAGGTCACAAAAGACGTTTGATCAAAAAATTGCGTTTTTTTGGCGCGCACTCCTTTTCAAAATTAGTACATATTGGCGCCAAAGGCACCATTAGAAAAATTTTAGAGCTGGTAGTCCAAAAATAGATTTTTAAAAAGTACCAAAGGGTCGAATTCCTGAGGGGTGGGCATCCACCCTCAACGCCCTTCACCCCTCCCCTAAATCCGCCCATGTGATGTAGACAAACAAATCATGGTACATTATTTCCTTTTTTAAAACAAAAAGGGTCAGTAAAGCGACTTTTAAAATGCATCTATTTTTGAAAGAGAAGTAAAAAATAATCAACTGAAGCTTAAATATTTTAAACCAATTATTTACAATTATTTTTTATACAAGACTCGTTGAAATTTTACTTCACTTGATCTGCTTACCTTAATAGCTTCTCGGATAATTATGTCAAACGGATTTGATTTATTGATGGTTTCAATAACAAGAAATATATGGCAATTTGCCCAGAATGAACTTCATTTTCGTGTAAAAATCTCGAAACGGTTAAACTGTCAATACAAATTTCATCAAAATCTATTCAACAAGTCTACAAATTTTGCCCCATATCAATTTTTTATTAATCTAAATTCTAGTATTTACTATAATTTCATTGTCATTGATAACAATATGGATTGAGGGAGCTTTGATTTTAGAAATGTACATATCAATATCGAAAAATGTTATTAGAAATTAATTTATTTTCCAGAAAATCAAAATATTTCTGTGCTGGGATCTTTTCTGGTAGTCCTCCCTCCGTCATGATCCAGATAATCTTTGATGGTGCCAGTGCCAACATGATGTTTAATAGATTTTCACCAACGGGGGGGGGGGCAAATGGAAAAGATCCCTATATTGGAATTCTATTAAGGAATCGTGCAATTCTAGATTTTAGTTTTATGTATCTGCAAACAATTTCAGAACATTGAGTTGGGCAGAAGATTGACGTAAGTAGGCTCTTCTTATTCCATTTTTTTCAAAAAAATCGCATAAATTAAACTTCTGCCCAAACATTTTGGCTCTGTTTTCGTTTTCAATGGTGTTATGTGCTAGGAATTGGTTTAATTTATTTCCTGAAACTATCTTTTTTATTTAGTACAAAAGTACATGTATCGCTGAGCTTTCGATACTTGAGACTTACTTAGATTAGAATCCTCTTCAACGCCAGATTTTATAACAAAAACTTTATTAAAGAAAGAAACTTGGAGGTTACGATTTGATGTATTTGGTCTTCAAACAAAGTTAATACTCAACCTTGCAACACCACTCGTTACACCATAAAAATGATGCTGATGTTAGGTGGGGTAGGGGGGTGCTGATATCATTACCAGTTATATTGAAACTACGCTTAATGTATGTAACCAAATTTTGACCCTTCAAAAGTTTCACCGTTTCAGTCATACCTAATAATTGGAGAATGTACATAGAACTTCACAGCCATCGTTTATGTAAATTCTGGATTAGATATCTGACCAGATGTCCTCTATCTGTGACCAGTTAATAACTTGGCTGCCATCGGTCATGGTCTCTATGGTGACTTCACATGCGACCATCCATTGTCTTCTTAAATTTTTTGTAATGATGATTTCCGAATTACTTAGAAAAAAGAATGTGCTGAAATGATGAAAAAAAAAGGTTTTAAGCTGAGATCACTAGCTCATTAAAATGAAAAAACATTTTTGAGGAATTCACTAACAGTATAAGGAATCCACTAACAAATATCAAAAAATAATTTTGCGAAGATAGTAATAGATTACAGATTGCACTTTAAGTAACTGATTGTGGATTCCGCAATGATATTAAGTGCAGACGAAATAACCTTTTTATACAGCAGCGTTTTTTGTTTCTTAACAAATTTCTGGTTGCTTGGAAATTGGCAATGTGTCAAAGTTCTGTTTTAAGTTATGTTTGTTTTGAATTTACTTGTAATTATCAGAATAACTTGTTTGCAGTAAAGATTCCATTTACAGTAAAATTAACTACACAAAGTGAACAAAGTGAAACTTTCGTTTTTGTTGTCTTATTTCTTCTACGCTCTCATTTCTTCACTCAAAACAAATTATTTTAAAAGTCGTTCGATTTTCAGTTCAACTATTTCTAGTTTACTTTTGTCTGTTGATGCGTATGCCAATTACTCTTACTGTAAAGCGGGTTTCACATAAGCGTTTTATCCTTTCAGTAGTTGATCTATAACTAAAAATTTTTTAACATATGATACATATCACAAAGCCTCCACAAACTAATTTCAATATTCAATATTGGCAATATAATACAAAAAAATAGGTGTCGATTTGAAAAATTAAGTAACGGAAAGATTGTTTCGCTTCGATTGTTGTCCATTCGCTTTTACATCTGATTTTTCATTATTGTAATAATATTAGTATCATTGTTTTTCTATATCTTCATTTACGGTCAGTTTTTTTCTAATCAACATGCTGTTTCGCCCAACGAATCATGGTGTATACGACTAACTTAATGTTTCGAGCTGTTGTTTTTTTGACAGTCTCGTCAGAATAAAAAACCAGATTACTTCCTACTTCTTAATCTAGATCAATATCATTTAGATATACGATGAAAGCAAGCGAGCCAAAATTGGATCACTATGTTACGTCAAAAATTACATTTTCATGAGATTGATAATGGTTTTATCGGCAACTTTTTGTTGTTGATTTTTTGAAAAAGATTTCAGCAGGTCCAAAACAGTTCCCTCAAAGAAACATTCGCGTCACATATCTCTATTAAAAGCATTAGGTCAACTGTATCAAAAGTTTTTGCAATGTGTCTTTGTGATTTTAGAATTCTAACCTTGACGTATTTGTTCTTTTATGAATAACAAAGCGTCAATTGTACCTCTTTTTGATCTGAATCGAAATTGGCAGTTTTGAAATCATTGATACTTTCTGACTCATTTTGTAATAATTGACAGTTTATTACAAAATGAGTCAAAAATTTCCCCTATAACTGGTAGAAAAACTGGCTGGTAAATTTAATAGCTCTCTGCCCTCTTCAAAGAGAGGTTCAATTTTATCAATTTGAGAAGTAGCTGGAAAAATTAAACACTAAAAAATTTGATGAGATCAAAGCCGGACAAACCATTTTCAGGTCATAGTGAGTAAGTCTACGAGTATCTAAGTCTACGAGTTTTTCTCGACTCGAGTACTTTTGACTTTTCCATTCCCATTATGTCTACTAAAAACAATGTTTTTTTTTTGCTTTCTAAAACATAATTCTTCGGAATTTTAAATTTAGTCGCCAACTTCTCCCCATCATTTGGAAAAAGCTGTATAATTCGTTGATTTTCATGATGTTTTGTGCCATGTCCTTGTTTTTTCTTGCACTTGTTAGATCAGTATAGACAGAATTTTTTTTTGGAACGACGGTGATTGTTGGATTCCATATGCTATTTGATTTGATAAAAGCTCTATTTTTCTGACTCACCATTTAACGAACCAATTTGCTTCGAGATTCAGGTATAAGGTTAAGCTTTGAAAAAATTGTTCGAAACCGGTGTTTTTTTTTTGAGGATGCTTTTTTCACTTCTTTATCTCTCCATTTTTTCGAGGTTTTTGTAATTGATGTTTATTCAGATAAAAATGAAACAAAATTATTTCTGGCTTTTTTTAACTATGAAAAAAAGCTCATGGCAACTCATTCAGCTAGGTTTTGTTTTAATATTAAGTAAACTTTTAATTAAAGGTTCGCTTAGTTCTTTCAGGTTCTGATTCAAGTTTGTTACAATGTCTGATTTTTGCATGTTTGTAAAGATATGTTCAACATCACCCCTTAGTGATCATTTAGAGATCATTGTAATAACCTTTTCATTTTGAAAAAAAACAGATGTTTACACGTATTACTGGACAGACTTCCTCTGGTTGAGCGTTTCCTAATTTGTAGGAAAAGATTTTTACCCTTTAGTAAGCTTATCAGGTCAGAAAATGTTTTGCTTTTTTGAAATAAAATTATTAAAGTCGCCACAAAGTAAATAATTCGTGAATTGAAGTATCACAATATTATCAAAAACGTTTCGTAGTGACAAGAACGTGTAAGTTTTAAGCGCACTAGGAGAAACATAAAAACAGGTAATAATAATTGTCATATTTAGTTTTTCATTCATTATTTACTGCTCATTAAATGAATGATATTTTTTCCTTTTCTTTCTATTAATTGTTTTTCCACATTTTACATATAAACATACGCCTTCTCCCCTACGCGTACGAAAATTTTAAATGGGAGGCGGATGCTCATTGAAAAAGTTGAAAACCGGGATAAGCGAAACCAAGTTTCGGTGCGCAAATAAATCTAGGCAAATAGTTTAGTTAAGTAAGGCTAACTCAAATTCATTAGGTTTTTCGGTAACGATCTAAGGTTTTGGTTTTTATGTAATACTGTTTCGTCCGTCTCTGTTGATCCGAGATAGAAAAAATTTTTTTAGCAAGATGGTAAAAAAATCACGATCTCCATCAGCTGGTTTTAATTTCTTTTCTTCTACAACCTATGTCTTATACACGGTTCTCGTATGGAAACAATATCTCTCTATTTCATAGAAATCAAAATTTCATGATTCGTCACGTTGTTCCATTTCGCCCGGATGGCAGAGCCAAACCTCTCGACACACACTGAAAACGACGAAAAAAACGTTATTACCGAAAAAAAAGTGCAAAAGAGGCTAAGAATGAATCAGAACTTTAAATTTTCAAAATTTCGACTGTAGCATTTCTGATTAATAACAAAAACGGCCATTTTTGACCAAACAACGAGTCAAAACACACAACCAGATAAAAATAAGTCGTAAGAGAGAGAAAATTGTAGCAAAAAAAACAGAGACTCTTATCGTAACACGAGGATACGATAAGGTGCTTATCAGAAGCAAAACTGTGTAAGCGGAAGGTCCAGTGCGACATTCGAGACGGATCCGAACCCTCCCGTGCAACCAAAATTGGGATATAACGACGTTATTTCCGGGAGAAGTCGGAACTAGAAGCCCGGTGCCCACAGACTTTGTTAGCAAACTTCAACGATATTTTAGCTGCTGTAATGCCCTGATCGCATTGAATTTATTCCGATATCAATTTAGTATTTCAGAGTATGAGCTGTCAGAGGCGAGGAAAGAGTCAATGCATCTCTAATCGATCTTGTAAATAACTCTCCCTAAAAATATCTAATTGTGGTTTCTAGCCGCGTTCTGTATATTGATCACCTTATCTGCGGAACCGAGACCCAGCTATGAGGTTATTTTCGCATGCAAAAGAAAGCTAATCAAAAAGTGTTTGGATGTTGGCCTAAAATTTTGGCTGTAAATTTAGTTCTCAAACAGACCAGAAAAACAACTTGCTAGGCCAAAACGGTTAAAAACGAAAGAAAAATAGGAAACTGACCTCAGCCAATCGTCAATAGACGTTATTGTAAGCTTTTATTGTAAGCTTTATCCGACTCAGCTTCTGGCAAGGTTTCGTTAAAATAATTGATATTGGTTTTTTGGTTTGATCTGTTTTCTAAGAGCGGTTCTGTTTTTCCAGACTTGTAACAAGCTAACAAATGTGCAGTTGAAAAAACCGATGGAATAACTGTAAAAGTTGCGTAACTATAATTAATATCACCAGCTGCTGTTCTACTTTTTTTGCGAGATGTGGGTTTTCAAAAAACGGTTTTTAAGGTTTTCTCAATAAAAGTTTTTCCAAAATACTGATAAGACCCATTATTCACTAAAAAATTTTGCGTTTTGAAACCATAAAAAGTATTTACCATAAATTGCATTTTGAAAATATTTTTTTTTAGAAATTTTGATTTAAAAAAATTTTGGTTTTGGCAAGCCTTTACCGCTGAAAATAAAGATATATTGGCATCAAAAATTCTTTTAAAAAAACTTGATTTCAGCCAGCCAAATATAGCCAACCCAGGGGCGGATTTAGGGTGGGGGCGGGGGGTTTTCGGGCGCCCTCCCCCTCAGGGATTCGACCCCCTGCCGACCCAAAGGGTCCCCCCTTTGATGCTTTTTAAGAAATCCATTCGGCGCCAATATATACTAATTTTGAGGGGGGACCACGCGCCAAAAAAACGCAATTTTTCGGTCAAACTTTTCCAAAAAATGCCTAAAAACGCCTTTTTTGGCCTGTTTTTTCAAAGTTTTGCCAGCGGCGCAAACAATTTGGCCAAAATTGGGACAAAACCGTGCTTTGGGAGAGCTCGAAAAATCTATTTGGTCGACCTAAAAAAAAAGGTCGTCAAAATTTTCGAAAATTTTTTGAAAATCCCCCCCCCCCCCCCCCCCCCCCTCGAGAAAATCCTGATCCGCCCCTGAGCCAACCTAAATTAAAATAAAAAGGAAAATACTTTTAGAAAATTTTTTTGAGCTTTCTTCTTCAAAATTTCTGACCGAATATTAACAATCAAAGTGTGCATTTTATATCTTGTTTAAAATGATGCCCTCAAAATTATTCAAACGAGTGCCTTCTTGCATCTGGCTTTCGACGATTTTGTGATAAAGACAATTTTCCTAGATAACAATGTAAAAAGTGCATGCATAAAAAAAGAATCGAAACTAAGAGACAAAAATGACGGGAAGACATGACCACTTTCGGGAGTTCGACTCGACTGGAAAAGGCGGTGCATCCTACCAAAACCTGATGAAAGAATTCGACAACCTATTTTCTAAAGACACCAAGTTTTTCACATACCAAAAATTACGAGAGCTAGCGAGCCTGTACGACACCAAATTGGTAGCTAGAGGTCACATGACTATTGATATTGACAAACATAATCGGCCTGTTTATAACAGCCGCACTTTTTTGGAGTCACACGAGTTCAACGGGCCGATAGTTCAGGTAGAGAGTAACGGATTATTGATTTGGCTTTTGGTTGTCTTATTTTTTGTTATATTATCTCTCTTTTTGTGTACATTATACTATGATTGTAGTGAAATAGAATGGGGAAAATGGGGTTCATTTACATGCAAAAGGTGCAAAAAAGACTGCAGAAAAAAGACGAAAAAAACAAAACGCGCAATCGCTGATTATTTCAGAGATAGCGATGTTCAAAAACCAGTTGTTGAGCCTGAAAATAAAAGCGAAGCGAAAGATAAAACTGTTGATGATCCCTCAAAAACAAAAGAAGAAGCTCCGAAACCAGCAAGAACAAGCGAGAGGCCTAGTCTAATGAGCACTTTAAGCAATAGAATGAAAAAAGCGTTGAGAAAAGTTTCGAATCGAAAAGAGAAGCCTGATTCTCATAAATCGAAAGCGCGAACAAAAATTGAAAAGGACAGTTTGGGAAGTTATGTACCAGTTTCGAACAAATCAGATGATCATTCTGATAGCGGTGAAAGCAAACCTTCAGCGAAACCAAAAAGAAAAGAAAAAGCGGGTTCATTAATTGAGGAAGACGCCAATAGTTTACCATCGGAACCTAGGCAGAAACGAAAAGACAAAAAACCTAAGAACGAGTTATCACCTCGAGTCCGAAAAGCTCCTGAAGTTGCGAAAAAAGATAATGTACAAGATTTACTTTCAGATACTCGCAGTAGAGACCAAGTTGAAAAAATCAAAAGCAAGGTTGTCCCTGACCGAAAATTGAACGCCAATCTTTCATCTTTCACTCAAGACTCAAGACACTCATCGGATAATGACGTAACCAATGATCCCATAGAACTTTCTAGAAGAAGTGAAACGAAAAAGAGTTCAGGTGTTCCTTCGATTGGCTCCGGTAAGAAAGTTGACGATGGACATAAAAAGTCAAACAGATCACAACGAAGCTCCTCTAGAAAAAGTTTAGCGGTAGATGAAAATGATTTAAAGTTACTAGAACCCTTAATGAATGATGGAACTGACCTTATTGATCCGTTTTTGCAAGAAAAAATTAGCAATCAGGAAAAAGACGAGCCAGAAACGGCCGAAGTTCAAAAAACCTCAGCTGGTCCTGACGAAGAAATAAAATCGGAAAATGAACCAGAAACAGCAAAAGATTCGGATGTCTCGGAAGATCAAATTGAACCTAGCACAAATAAATTCAATGAACTAAAACCAGAAACAAATTTGGACAAAACTGAACTTAGCCCGGAATCAGTCAAAGCATCAATTGGATCAGGAACAAAAAGTCAAACCAGTACTGAGGAGGAACCACAGCAAAAAACGGATGTAGAAAAAAATAGTAAGAAATCCAACGAGGAAAAAAGTCCGAGCATCTTAAAAGACTCAACCAGCAAAAATGAAAATAAACTTTTGAAGGCAGAAAACGAAACTGTTGATCCAAACGAGACAGAATTTATCGAGCAAGAAAGCGAAAAGCCACAAGAGCCAGATGCTTTAAGTGGGACTCAAAGCAAAGCTGACGAGAAGCCGTCTTCAGTCAAAGATATCAGTGATGGCCCAAAAAATCCAAGCAAAGATTCAATTAAGCCGAACTTGAACCGTACGAAGTCTAAAGCATCGGAAGATTTGGCAAATTTAAGTGAGCTTAAAGGTTCGTATCAGGGAAGTCTTAAGCCTGACTCATTTTCTCATAGCATTACTGGATCAGAAGCACCAGATCAAGAAAACAAGGTCAGTGGCTCACTGAGATCTTCAGAAATTTCCAACGATTTGAACGACGAGCAGAAAAAAGGATCATCAATAGGTTACAAGCCCTCAAGTCAGAAGCGCTTATCATCTAAACGGTCCAATGTTCCAACCCAGAAGTCAGTTGCATCAATAGGTTCCAATGTGAACTCTGGAAGTACTGTCGATACGCATTACGACGCTGATGCAGAAAGTGAAGAGTTGCCGGTTCTTGATTCGTTGGACAAAATAAATGCCGCAACTACAAACGACCCAGACGAAATGAGCGAATCAATCGACCAGAGTCGAGATTTGAAAAGTAGAAAGATAGCACCGACCATTACGACAACTAACGAATCAGACCCAGAAGGATCGCCAGATGACTCGAAGAAAGTTACGGAAGTTCAAGAATTTCTGAGAACTTCAAAGCCATCTAAGAAGTCTACCAATAGTAAACCGAGCGATGTTTTAAGTTCCCCAACTTTTACCGTTCTGTCGGGAAATGATGGATCCAAGTCTAAAAATAGTATCGAAAACACACGTAGTAGAAGCTCCTCGATAAAGAAAAGCCTACTAGGAACTAAAACAAGTGATTCTCATTCTGGCTCGACTCAAAAAGCGTCGTTCAGTTTCCCCGGTTCGACTACAGATGAAATGCCGAGTGATTCGCCGAAAGAATCGGTCGGACCCGAAACCACTCTGAGTCCAGAAGGAGGTCGTTCGAGGTCATTCAATTCAAGAACGGACGACAGCGGAACCAGCAAGTCTCCTGAAAATAAAGCTTCAAAAAAGAGCAAGCGCTCTAAAAAGTCAAAATCGAAGAAAAAAAAGAAGAACAAATCAAGGTCACAATCCTCAAATGACGAGGACGAATCGAAATCAAAGAAGAAGAAGAATAAGAAATCTAAGAAACGGAAGCAAGAAGCGACTGAAAAATCTGAAAACAGTGATCTCATAGATCTAAGTGATCATATATCTTCCAAAAATTCGTCGCTTGAAGAAGAAACTTCTGAAGCACCAGATCTTGGTTCTGCCTCTCATAAGTCTTTGAGCGCTGAAAACAAATCAGGTTCTGAAAAGTCGAGTTCAAAAGTGCCAATCAAAAGCTATCATTTGGCTTCCGAAAGCTCTTCGATGCAACCCCTGGAAGACGTGAAAGAATCCAAACAGATTCAATTATCAGGTTCGAAAGAAAAATTAAGTGAGAATTCTGTTGAGAATGATCTTGATGAAGATGATGTAACAAAAGAATCTGCTTCTGATGATGTTACCAATCCTTTCATGGAAGCCATGCAAGCCGAAGATGATGTAACTGAAGAGAAAAACGAATATGACGAGGCGGTTAAAGATTCCGACGCCCAAGCAGACGTTAATAGTGTAGATGACGTAACAGATTTGAATACCGACAAAAACGATAACGCAACGAACGATCCAACAGAAGTTTCTAGATCAAATCAAACAAAGAAGACTTCAACGATACCTTCAATGGGAGCTGGGACTATCGAAGACGAGGAACCAAAGTTTTCAGCTAAATCTCAACGAAGTTCGTCTCGGAAAAGCTCGGCTCCGGCCAAAGATGACATAACAAAGGAGGAAACTGAAGGAGAATCGGAATCGAAACTAATTGATTATGTAACAAACGAGGAAGTAGATGACGCAGTGGACCCAACAAGTGACGAAGAGCTAAGTAATGAGCTGACCGACGACCCTACCAAAACATATCTTCTCAATAATGATGACGCAATCGAAGAAAAGGAATACGAAGATGACGCAACAACTCGATTGTCCGAAAGGGACGCCACTGACAGTGGAAACAACCAAGTTTTTGACGAAGCGAGAAGTGACCAATCAGCAAGCATTGAAACAAATAAGGAATCCTTAGATGATGCAACGCATGACGTTGAAGGGGACAAAAAACCGACTGACCTGTCGGGTTCGGTTGAAGAGAAAAAAGACGATCCAGAATCGACTAAAAGTTCGAAAGGCAGCAGTGCTTTCGTAACTCAGATTCGCTTCTCGGATGAAGAAGAACCGAAGAATGCGGTCAATGTTCCAATTGACCCTTCTGATTTGCAGAAAAAGTGGCTTGACACTGCGACTAAACAGAGCGAAGTATCGAACTCAACATACCCTTCAGTCGTTCAAGATGGCTCTTCAAAAGGTTCAAAAATCAGTAAAAAATCAGAAGAAGAGGAAGATATTAAATCGCATGACTTGAAAACAAACGAAGATGAAGATGAAGAAGATGAGCACAAATCTAAAAAGTCTAAATAAATCTTCAAAATTTTAATTATCAATATCAATGACTTTTTTTTATTTCGCACTTACCAAAATACATTCTGTGGACGTAGAGCTATCAAATGATATCATTTGATAGTAGCAGGGACAACAGTTAAGGTGGCATCAAATGAAGACATGCTAAAGTATTTAGTAGATTTTTTCTATATAAATCAATAGATTCCCTAGTGTGTAGAAATTTGAGCTTTAGTTTTGTTTTGTATGTCTTCATGTTAAGCCGCCTTACCTGTAGCTCAAACTATTATGAATTAGTTGTCTTGAGAAAGTTAACAGTCCGAGAAAAGAAGCGGGAATGTGGGAAAGTAAAGATGGCGGCAAGTGAAGACCACATAAAGGGATGTGAATGGAATATATTTGATGGCAGTGTGGGGACCAAATTGTAACAGTCGTACACTTAAGTCGCACATGAGGTTAAGAGAAATAGGCCCTAGAAAAATTGGCTCAAGGGTCAGAGACACTATCTCTTGTGTCTTTGCACCTCAATCTGTCGGAGCCAATCCGGTTCACTTAAGACATGTGACATCGAGATCGTTTTACAGCTTAAAGGCTACTACCAAAAAATCCTCACTCTAGAAATAGTTACGTCCTCATGGTTAGGTCTCTAAAAACCCAAAACACGCTAACGCTGTTAAGAACAGGGTTGGAACCTCAAGTAAAAACTATTAGTTTTTATTGGACAATGGACATTTGACTTATTTCAGATGGATCAAGCTAATAATTCCTTCAGCTCAACATAACTGTATAAAATGTTTTCGAGTAATGAAATTACTATCAAGACACTATCAAATAAAATAACTACGATAACTCTAGAAGCTTCAATAAAGTAATACGTTTTAGGCCATTAGGTCACTTGAGTGAGCGACCTTCCCAATCAAGGTGTAGCACTCGCGAATACACTCTTGATTCTCTTTATCAGGAACAAGACAGCTCTATTCAAGCTGATAGCTATAGGGTGAATTGAAAATAGCAAATTGATTCTTGACTGAATCTTCGTCAACTTTTCCGCAATTTTCAATTCGACTGTTCTGATTTATTCAATTGTTTTTCAGTTTCCTCGAGAAATTTGAGCATTACATGGTCGATTCGAATTTTTCAAAAAACCGTTTAACTCCAAAAAAAAATGAAAACCTCAGGATATGACCGACTGGCCCAAATGTAGATGATTTTAAGCAAAAAAATGATTTTATGCCAATTGATCTAATAACTATTGGCACTTTTTCAAATAAAGCTGTTTGTTTTTGCAACCTTATATTTGCTGATTGCAAATTAGTCACCCACATTAATTTAGGTAGTAGCGATTGTTCATCGATAGATTCTGCTATTGACGCAATGAACATCAAGATTACATCGATGGCAATCGCTATTTTATCATTTTTTGTTGCTAATTTCCAATGTGAACTCGCGAACTACTGCTATAGTTTACATCCTTAAACGGAGCAAATGTTATCTAAAACTTAAAAAAAGAAGCTGACAAAAAATTCGGTTAACTGTTTAGGCTAACTGTTTCATGCAATTTTTGGCTACACAGTTCTGAAGTTTTTGTGAACAGAAACTGAAAGTTGTAGAAAAAAGGTGTTTACTTCCAATGCATAAATTCAAATGATTTACAGCAACATGGTTTATACAATAAACTACATTTTGCAAAATGTTGTAACATTTTTTCAGAAATGGCTTGAGGAATCGACGATTTTCAAATAAAAATTATTAATAACGGAGATTTTTATAACTTTAGAAATTGTGTACAAAAACTGGAGTAATTGTCTTCCATTTTGAGATTTACAATGCTGATTTTAGTTATCCGAACGAAACGCATAAGACATCAAATTTAAAACGCGTTTTCTCGAACCGAGTTGTTTTAGGCGGAAAATAACAGAGGTAAAACGTGTTTAAAATTTTAGCTGCAAATTTTAGATTTATAATGATCTAAATGATTTTGTAAAACTCAGGCCTCAATTTCTACTTCAAAAACGGATAACACTAAGCGGTTTTGTCAATCAAAAATCACGCTAGACTTTTGGGGTCAATTATTGACACAATCAAATCAAATTATTCTTATTAACCAGGCCAATAAAGTTGAAGAAGAAAAAATTTCCGAAGAAAAAAAAAGAGCAAAACGTTCCAAAATTGGCATTTTATATAGTAAGAATGACATTTTTTGGCTATCAATCATATTTAATTTATGTAATTTACATTTTCGAAAGTTAATCTGTTTTTTATTATTTTGAACCAAGTCAGAAAAACATTTTGATTTAATTTTGTCACTTATTGACCCAGTAGTTATATATTAACTTTTTATTGACTGAAAAAACAAACTATCCAATTTTGGGGTACTGTTTTGGGCCCTAAGCTTGCAAAACAAAATGCATCACAATAGTTTTGCTAAAAAATTAAGCAATTTGTTTCAATCATTCTTACCTGAAGTCAATCGAAGCTGAGGAAAATTTGTTTTAAATTTCAAGTTTCAAGCGTTTTGTCTGGATAACCTAACTTTAATTTCCCACATTAGGGTTTCATAAAATTAAACCGATTATAATTGAATTTCACTGTCAGTGCCCGCAAAAGTAAAAATAAATCGGTTGATATTTTTTTTGTACCCAATAACTGAATTTTGTTTCTTTCAACAACTGCTCAATTTAATCAGCTCCAATGCTTGCCCCTTTGTACCCTTATACCCGCCACCCCCAACCTGAACCAATCTTAACCTTGGCCCCACCTGAACCAATCCCCTTCCGCCAATAAAATCCCAACTGAACCAACCCTTCCCCCCACACCCACCCTACCTGAATCGAATCAGAGGGGGGGGTTCCAAGTGGATAGGGGTTGTTGTGTCAGGTGGGGGGTCCGGTGTGGGAGGCGTCCTAAAAGGCCAGGTGGGGAGGGTGGTTCAGGTGTGGGGGGTGGGGGCAGAGGGGCAAACGTTGGGATGGGGGCTTGAAAGGGAGCAAAGGGCCAAAAGTTAGGGGGGAGAGGTTAACAAAACTTTTTTGCAAATTGAATTTAGGTTTAGAAATGGACTAGGCCGTACAATCACTTATTTAATAATCCAGTACTTATTTAATAATCCATTATGATGGACTTTAAATGAACTATTATGCATTATGTTTTTGCGAGACAAAAAAATGGATTTAAATCCATTTTTTGTTCAATTTTGCTATCTAGGCCTAACATGGGAATCTATTATATTGACAATGTTTTAGACCATAAAAATCCATAATAATCATTTTTTTTCACTTTTCTCAGATGCAGGTTGCATTAGCTTATTTATGACTAATTTAAACCTTGCAAATTTACTTTTACTCGAATAAATTTAGTTTTTAGAGATTTTAGAGCCATCTTAGGAATCAAAAACTTTGGAATAAAAAAAATGGAAAAAAAAGTTCGGAAAATTTTTCTTTTTTTTACGATTTTTTTTTCTTTTTTCTGGTACTTTTTCTGAACTGTTTCCCAATATTCTATTTTAGTATAACTGTCCAAAAAAGCTATGTTCTAGTTTTGTGTTCAGATTTTTTGTCACACCACGCAGAAAAAAACACGACACTAATTTGGATTTTTTTCGTGTTTCATAAGACTATGGTCGGAACCTTCTGTGTTACTTGCACAGTAATCAGCTATCCTTGTTTGAGGTTGAATTTACCTATGTTCAACCTCAAAAAAACCATCTGTTTTAGAAAATCTAGATAACATTCTCACACCATATGGTGTCATAATTTTACTCGCGAACAGTTTAAATATTTCAAAACACGCATATTAATAAAAAAAAGGGTTCAGTGAGACCTCAATTTTTCACACTTCGCGTTAATTGGAAAACATCAAAAACGACAAAATTATTTTTATTTCTTGGTGCTAGGAGAACAGCCAGATAATTTTTATTACAGCTCGGATCACAATCACACTCAAAAAAAAGTTAAGTTAAATTTACCTTAAAAAATACCTTAAAGCACCTAAACAATTAAGGTAAATTTGCACTACCTTAAGTACACCTTAACTTACCTTAAAACACCCTAGTACACCTTAAAACACCCTAAAAATTACCTTAAATCAATCTAAAAGTTAAGGTGTATCAACCTTAAAAAACACCTTAAAAAATTTTATAGGTAGATTGCGGTTGCCTGGAGCTGCCAGGAAACAATACAGCCACAAAAGCAAAGTTTTTTTCACGATCGGTCCAAAAGGCACTGTTGTGTGCTTTCTAGTAAGACCTGAAAAAAATTTTGAACACATTGAGCTGATACTTTTAAGACGACATAGAAAAAATCTGGAAATAAATAATATATAAAAATCGACCATAAAATCTTTGAAAAAAAATTTATCATCTGACCTTATAGAACCCATGGCGCGTACATAAATTGATGAAATGACAAAGCAGTGTAATTATTCTATCTTTTTTATAAATAGAGGTTCAGAAGTCTGTAAACTGTAGGATTATCATTCTTATTTTTATGATGAAAAAAAATAATAATCAGGATTAGCTGGTGGCTGTACAAGTATAGGTAGCATTTGTAGAAGCGTTCCATCTACTAACTAAGAACAAAATTAAGCTGTGTTGCTGTGAGCTCAGTGCAAAACTTCTATATGCAGTTATGTATTAGAGCTCAGGGGGAGCGGGTCAGATTCAAAAACATTAAAAAGGAAAAGTAAGAGCCCAAAAAAAATAACTGGGTGTCCTGATAAAATTTTTGGAGGACCAGGGTGATAGTTAAGTGCTAGAACTTATGCAAGGAACAAAGATTGAGTAAATCGTTTAAAATCAGTCGCAGAACTAACATAACTCATGGTTTTGATCAGAGCAAATTAGAAAACTGTTGAATCATTGCAATATGAAATCGACCCGAGAAGAGACGTAACGCAAAATACACAGAAAGAACTTACAGAAAAAGATACAATCTTGTGGCTGGAGGAGACTTTAGGTCATCGATAGAGATCTTGGACAGACCTTTCGGTGAAAGAAAAACTAATGATGTTCAAAAATACTTCAAGAGCTGATGGGATTCCAAACCACTTTTGATTCCACTTTCCTAGAGGCACTTAGCATAGTGGTAAGGCGTTTACTTCATGATCGTCAGATCGTTTAATTGATTCCCTACCATAACAATGATAGCATGCGAGAAGGAGATCTCACTTGTGCTCCAGTTTCAAGTCTACCAGAGCCTGGCCAATTTCGGCTGCAATGATGGTGCCACATGACATTGGTAGCCATAGAAAAATTTGAGTCGCAAAAAAGCTTCGCTCAACAAAATAACGCAGTCTGGAATGAGGAGAAAATCATAGAAATGTATTATTCATTCATTTTGGTTCTATCATGTAGACTCAAAATTTATTTCGGTTAACAACCGAGCACTTTGAGGACTCGTTTAACATTTTTGACAAAAAAGTAGCATTTAACACCATTAGCAGGTTTTAATTTGACGTTTGTTTGCGTTCTTTGTGGGCCCCATTTGACGTTTGTTTGCGTTCTTCTCAATTTTTGGTCGTTGTTTGTGTAAAAAAAATCAATTCCCTCTTGCAATGCGGCTGAGACTTGAAAACATTTTCTGCCTAATTTTACTTCTGCAGAAAAGCTTTATAAAATCTTTTTTGGGTACCTTAAGCGATTGTATGACAGTAGCGATGGGGTACCCTTTGGGTGAGTGGTCTGTGACTCGAATCCCGAAAAGGGGTTTTCGCGCGCTACCCATTCCACGAAATCCGCGAATGACGAAAGACCTCAGTGTAGTTAGAAAAATCGTTCTTTTGGGTCATGAACAAAATTTAATTTCAACAATCACTAATATGAAATACAATAATCAAACTAAAGAATCGAACAGCAGCAATTGCGTTTTTTGCGACGACTGTCCTTGGATCCTCCCTGAAACAAAAGAACAAATATTCGAGTTTATACGGCAATATTTAATTGTACAAATTTACCGTTTACAAAAACTATAACAATATTGAACTGCATTCAAAAATCAGTATTCTATCACAAAAAACTAACTGATCAAACCAAAACTTCAAAAATTGTTTTTGTGAAAATCTGTGTTTAGGTCAGTCATTCTTGGTAGGAAGGGAAGGTTTGGACGAAAAAATGATTGTTTTCGGAGCGCTTTTTCCCTCTCATAATTTGTGTATATTAAAGTCAAAAGCGCCCTCGAAATAGATACCCAAAAAACCTGAACTTAAACACGGAGGCGAAGCTGCGCTTCGCAAACACAACCGACGAAAACGCAAAAAAGAGATCTAAACAGGCAACACAAAGTGAAATAAGGCATAAAGAAAAGACTAAAAACACAACTTGAGAAAACTTTTTTGCTGAGATTAGGAGTATCACGTTCTTAAATCTGCTCCACGATTGCTTTTAATTTTACTAACTTTAGCCACCAATAAGGCAGCTACAGTTTCTATCAAATTGCCAGAGCTATGTAGCAAAAATTCGACCAAAAAAAACTTCAATATTCCGGATTTGAATCTCCGACCTGTTGATTTGGAGTCTCACGTCCTGGCATTTGCCCCAGGGTTGCTTGGAAGTAAACTAGTGGCCCAGCTAATACTGGATGCGCCTGTTTAAATATTTTTAATCATATTTTACCAATACGGAATTGCGTATTTTGAAAAATTTCAAAAACTTGATTTTTACGCAAAACCCTAGTGATTTCTTTGCTCAAGTACAGAATCAGCCGCTTATTTAAAGAAAAAAACTACTACTATCTCTTTCAAGTAATTTTTTTCTCAGATTTGGCTGGGTAGTTTTCGAAACAAGTAAACAAGGTAGCAAAAAAAATCAAAAGGTTTGAACTTTGACTTATTCTAAATCCAAAAAATTTTCTCTACTGAAGCATGGGAGTAGCCTCTTATACAGGAAAAATTTCCACAACTTGAATTTCAGACTGAAGCCTTAATATCAGATTTCGCTAGTAGTTTTTGAGAAAAGAGAAAAAGTGATGAAATTTCTAAAAAAAACATGATAAATTTTTCAAAAGAACTTTTCTGAAGTTCAGATCGGTCTTTCTAAAAACAAATAGGGTGTAACAGATTCCGCAGGCAACATCTAAGCAAAATGGTAGCTTAATAAATTATCAACCTCAGAATCCGTAGGTTTGTTTTTGAAGAAACATGTTTCCAAAATAGGGCAACGTTTCAAAAATTGGACCTTTTCTTATGCTACATTTTTTTTCAAAACGTAACGGATAGACGTTTGCGCAGAAGAGATTCACATAACTGGTTTTTCTGCTTTCGGTTAAACACTTTATTTTCAATTTCTCAGGGTAATTTTTGAGAAAAGTGAAAAAAAAATAAAAATTAACTAAAATGTCAAAAAATGAGTATGTTTGAGGCCATAACTTTTTCTATCAAATTCAGGGAATAGCCGCTTGAGAAGGCAAGATCCCTAGATTTTGTTCTTTTGCTTGAATCTTTCAACTCAAATGTGTGCTTTTCATATTTGAGAAAAAGAAAAAATTAAAAACAATTAGGTCAAAAATCCCCCTACTGAAACTTTCGGAGGCCGTAGAACGAGGGGTAAAATGAAAAGAGACTACCAAAAAATTCTGGAACATAGAAGAGCAGCCGATTTTGCCATTGGTATCATTTTTTTGAAAATCAGTACAGTATTTTTTAAGAAAAAGTGAAACTTCTGCGGAAAGTGCAAAAATTTTCCCATACATTTTCATAATACTTGTTTTTTTTTCAAACAGGACCTAACACTAGCCAAAAATAAAGCAGTAATATATGCTATTAAATTGCTTGTGCTTAATTAAGCTTAGGTAAGCTTAAATATGGTTTAAATGAAATATACCAAAAGTGCCACCAAATGAGCACTTTTATTTGGGACTTCGGTTGGAAAAAAAATCTTTGTAATCATACACTACGCTTCGCTTATGTAAATACAGTATCAAATGGAAAAACCTTTGGTAAAATAAGGGCAGCAAAATCTATGATTTTAGTTATGGAAAAAAACGTTTAAGGATAGATTTCTATGATTACGTCAGTTGTTTGAGACGGAAAAATTGATCGCATACAAATGAAACAATTTTAACAGCTTGTCTTCAAAATTTAAAAAACACAAAAAAAGATTTCACCCGCGGAATAAGTAATCCTTGCTGTGACGTAATAGGCTCCTCTCCATCCTCACTGTCTTCGTTATTCCCATTTCGGCTAATTAGGCCTTCGGTCTCGTCGAAAATGATATCTGCCTCAATTACAAATGATGAGTTAAGATGGTGCAGTGCACTTCTCTGTCGGCTAAGTGCGTCTTCGACTTGTTTGATCACGAGGTCTGAAGAAGATAACTGCCTGGCTTCACGAAGGGATAGAAGTTCCAGCCGCTAAATACAGCACCACATTGGGCCAATTAAGAACGTTGCATCTGTAATCACGACAGTTGTAACCTTCTTTTATAGAAAAAGTAAGAAGACTAACTCCATTTTGCAGATCAAATTAGATACGAGAAAAACCAAGTTGAGATCTTCCAGGCCAGTTTAATGTGGATAAAAATTGCTGAGAATTGAAAGTAAAAATCTGATTGGCTGGAAAAATTCAAATAAGAACAAAGAAATTTGCAGCCTTAAGAGCACCACACCCTCCCCCCTGAGGCTAGTTTAACCTGGTCCCATTTTGCTAAATCTGCGTCTCATGAACACAGTTAATTTTAGCATCCCGGCATCCAATCTAAATAGTTTGAATGAACTTACGATCTTCTACATTTTGAACCTAACCAGCCAATTAGGATCATTAAGAGACAATAAGTTTCATTAAGATATATTTTTTTATATTTTGAGCAAAAAATTTATAAATATTGCTTCGATGATTTGAGTATTTTCAGTTGTAAGGGCTTATAATTATCAAATTGTTAATTGAGCTTCTGTTTTTAGTGAGTCTCCATTTTTTGCCGGTAATCAATTTATTACATGCATAGGAGAAACTTTATTGTAAATGTTCGTCTTTTTCCGAATTGGAATCTTCACGCCAAAGGAAGAGACGACAAATCAAGACAAGACTGCTCGTATCAGGGCGAAGCCCTGAATGTTCCGACTGCCTTTTAAGGTTTGTGGAGTAGTAGTACCATCAAAAAATTAAATGTAATAAAATAAAATGAAAAAAAAAAATTCTAAAACTTAATTTTTTTAAATGAAATCATCCCCCCACACGGCATATAAAGTACAAAATAAAAGATTTCGCTCATTGTAACATATCAATTATGGCAAATATGCTTCTTTCAACCATTTTGGAACGATTTCAAAGACGGATTAAATCTCCGCTTACGCGTTAATAGCGCGAAATATATCGCGCGTTAATTGTCCCAAATTGGCCAAAATGGCCATCTTAAAACCCCCATAAGTTTACGAAAAAAGATCACAGGTAAAATATTTTTTCAAATTTAAGCTCAGGACAACAATACCTTTTGAATGATAAAAAAAATCCGTCAAAAATGGCTACTTAAAAAGTCAAAATTTGTCTGAAGAAAAAAAAACCCACTTCGAGCACAAATATTCCGTTACTTTCGTATCAAAAGTCGGAACAACAAGAGAAATTGCCAACTAGTTTTTAACATCTTAATACATTATATCGCCAAATAGTTACGCAGAAATATATACGCGATAGTTTTTTGCCGTTTTCATTGAACAAAATTGTAACAAAATGAATCATGCGAGCCCTTTCTTCTTCCAATCTAAATATAACTTGATGCAAGCACAAAGTTTTAGGCTAGTCAAACGAAACTAGCAACAGAGAGAACATATAGCAAAGTTGAACGAACATATTCATTATATATGTTTTGAAAGCATAATTTTTTATGCCCATATTGGCAACAAACACAATTTCAAACAGCAGAATCAACAAAAAAATTATTGCCAAAATAATCGTTTCGATGGATTTTATGGAGAAAAATGACAAGATTGAAATGACTCTAATGAAATTTAATGCATTATGATGAATTCTAATGGATGATAATGGATTATACTGGATTAAAAAAAATGGTACGGTGTCTGCCAAAAAGATCGGTGTCTGACAATGCTTGATTGAACTAAAAATCATTCTAAACGACTTTTGCCCATGGAAACTTGGTGCTGATGTTACACTAATGGAGACTTCAGCTGTAATAAAAAATCGTTGAAAGGATATTATTGCATTTTTATCAAATTTTCATCAAATGTTTGAAAAAAAAAAACTAAAATAACTGACTCAAATTGTGATGATTGGGATTAAACTGGTCATATACTGAGAGGGCATATGAACTCGCAACTGCTATCAAAGTTTAGGTACAGCTTCAAAATTGAACAAATAGTTAAAGTCAGTGTTCAATTCATGAACATTTTTGGAGTAAACATTTATTAACCCTGCCATTAATGTGAACAAAATTTGACAAATTTTTTCACATTAAAGGCACGGTTATTAAATTAAATCTCCAAAACAGCTTTCATGAATGTAACACTTATTTTAACTATTTATTCAATTTTGACGCTGTTCCCAAAGTTTGATAGCTTATGCAAGTTCCAATACTTGGTACAAAAGTTTGAAAACTATAATGAAACTAGCAAAGTGTTTCTTTAAAAAAAATTGATTAAATTGATTTGAAAAACAACCCCTTACGCGCTATCTTAAGTACAAGGTGTTATTTTTTGAATATAACAGATTATCAAATAGACCAAATAGCCTGTCTCAATTCAATTTGGAATAATTTCTAAGACGGATGAAATCTGCGCTTACTCGTTATTAGCACGAAATATATCGCCCGTTAATTTTCACATATCGGCTTAATTGGCAACATTTAAACCCTCATAGTTTTATAAAAAAAACAAGCGTTGTGAAACATCATTGCAACATTGAGCTCAGAAAAACAATACTTTTCAGCTGATGCAAAAACAAATTGCCAAAATTTGCTAGTTCAAAAGTCGAAGTTTGAAGAAAAAACCACCCCCATTACAAACAGTCCGTCTCTTTCTTCGAAAGGCGGAACAAAAAGTAACTGGATGGTTTCCTTTAATGAATAATTAATGACGCACGGTCTTAGTTGGGTTTCTTGTGTCGAAAAACCCCATCCTGTTACACAAGTGTTACAGACAATCTAGGACATGGTACAGGAGAAGTAGTAACCATAAGCAAAGCAGTTCGAGATAATTTAATGAACTAATTACGCGGGCCAAACACTAGCAAGTTTTCTTAACCCAATTTGGTTTTTCAAGTTAATTATTAGAATAAAAAAGATTTTAGATTATATTTTTCACATCAAGTTATTTTTCAATACAAGTTCTTTTAAAGTTTCTTTTGAAGAACGCCATTTGAGATATGCGTTAAAAGAAACTTATATGTTATTATAAGTAAGAATTGAGATGACTTTTTCCAAGTTTGTCATCTGCATTTGCTCTGACTTTAAAAAATCAATGGTGGTAAAAAAAACAAGTCGATCAGCGTAATGAGGGAAAAACTTGTGGTCGACATAAACAGATTTACTAGTTGATTTTTCAACCACAAAATATTGTTGAACCATCTCTTGTGTAACTCTGCTGGAGTTCAATTTATTCATGCTTGTTTTTTCTGTGATAAGATATTTTAAACAAATACCTTCCTCTCTGGTAACTACCAAAAAGATCATAACTCAGCGGATAAAACCAAAACTTAACCATATGATGTGCAATGGTTTTTGCAGTCAGAGGTCCCTAACAGTTTTGAACTTACGTCTAGTTTGAACTGTACAATCTGCGCCTGCTGTACCAGATGGTCCAGTGTCTGTAGTTCAGACATAGCCCTGGGTACCTGGCTATCGGCCACACCCCCCTGCGATCCTCCCTCAGTGGATGCCTCCAAGTCCCAGTCCTCAACTGGAATCAAGATGGAGTTCTTTGCACGTGAGAATTCCCTGTACCCCTGAATCATTGGAAGAATAGAAAAGATCTCGGCTGAGAGCATGGAAACAGTATCGACCATTTGAAAAATAATATTTAAGAAAAAAGTTTCCGCTCGAGCTGAAAATTGTTCAGTTCGAACAAAAAGGTCACGTGATGAGTATGTCTGAATTGAATTTGAATTCATTTATCCAGAAACATAACATTTTTAATGGAATTAATGTAATATGTTCTCTGGAAGGGCTGTTGAAAGAGCATATTTCAACTTATCACCAACCGCCCTGGAAAGATTAAAAAAAAGAGGACAAGTAGAAAAGTGGGCTTCTATACAAAAAAGGTTTCATAAAAACTCATTATAAATTCGCTTGTTTTCAGCCATTCAACATCTTTGGGAATTAGGAACCTAGTGTTTAACCATTTGCCCAGTGACGAGTTTCGTCAAACATGATTTTTAAATTGCTACTTCTAACTTTTTTGTTATCATATATCATTTAATCAGGTAAAATGACGATGATGGAGAATTTTAGAGAGGGGCCATGTGTCCAACAGGCAAAGGTTCATCTTTCATATAATTGTATTTGTTCTCTTACATCGTCTGCTTGCCACGCTTTCTATGTTCGACTCCTGTGTTCTGTGAAACTTATCAACTAAATTTCGTAATTCTTGACTGTTTTTAGTAGTCTCAACAGATCTAGAAGAATTTCCAAAAGAAAATTTGTATGCTCTCGACCATTTTACAAACCTGGTTAATAGTTTGATATAAACGAAATATGATTGGGTAGCAAAAGTAGCAGATAAACCTTACGATATCCACCCAAGTCGATTTAAGGGGAGAAAGTATGGGAGAAACTAATTTTCAGGAATTAACTCTCTAGGTATAAACTAGATTCATTGATTTAATCTTCTTTTATATTTTATCGGAAATAGATTGGAAACATCAACTTAGGTAATTAGCAGCATTAAAATCAATCCCGCGTAAAAAACGACTTTTGAAGGCTTTTTTTAAATTAAGCACTTGTTCCAATTGCATATTTTAATTTTCAAAATTATTCGCGGCTGAGGGGGAACACTGCTACGATTGCTGCCTTATGGGGGATCGTGTGATTGATTCGAACTATCATACTAAACAGGGGCGGATCTAGAACTTTCTCGAGGGGGGGGGGCGGATTTTCAAAACAACATTTATGAAATTTTGTCTACTTTTTTTTAGGTCGACCAAATTGATTTTTCGAAAACTCTCAAAGCATTAGGAAGACCCTGTTTTGGTCAAATTTTCTGCGCCACTGGCGAAACTTAAGAAAAAAAGGACAAAAAAGCATTTTTAGGCACATTTTGGAAAATTTTGACCAAAAAATTGCGCTTTTTCGGCGCGCGCTCCCCTCTCAAATTTAGTATATATTGGCATTAAAGGCGCCTTTAGAAAATTTTAAGAAAGATAGGACAAGGGGATAAGACAAGAGGCGCCTTAAGAAAGATAAGACAAGAGGTGCCTTTATAAAATTTTCTGCGCCACTGGCAAAACTAAAAAAAAACAGGACAAAAAAGGCATTTTTAGGCACTTTTGGAAAATTTTGAACAAAAAATTTCGCTTTTTCGGCGCGCACTCCCCTCTCAAAATTAGTATATATTGGCATTAAAGGCGCCATTAGAAAATTTTAAGGGTTCGTCACCAACTATGGATATCTCAAAATAGTACAAAGGGGAGACCCTTTGGGTCGGCAGGGGGTCGAATCCCTGAGGAAGGGAGATCGTCCATTAAAATTAAAATCCAGGAAGCTTATTATGTTTAAACTTAAATGTTTATTACAAATTTATTACAAAAGAAACCAAAACTTGTTAGCTGTTTTAATTTGTTCGTAGGCAAAACAAAATAAACTAATTTCAAAAAAAATATATTTTGATAACGCAGGTTCAGGAAACTACTTTCATGAGCCAAAACAAAGACAATATACGGGCATCGATCAAAATTACTCATAATCTTTGAACATTTAAGGAACCAGTCCTTACTCAACAATCAAAAACTAAAACCACTAAAAATTTTTGTTGTTTAGTGTAACAAAAAAAACAGAAAATTGAAAAAAGTTGTTTTCGCCGAAAAAGACGATTCGTCAAAAGAACTTGCCGGTGATTGCTTTGTTTATATAAAAAACAACCTACTTTTCTCAATGATCTATTACTGAAACAACCAGAAAATTAGACAAAACAGCTTGCATCTGTGCAAAGGCCTGAATTTTCCGACTCTGAGTATATATAATATACTCTGAGAAAAGCTCTGATTATATAGAAATTGGGAAAATCATCCACGCTATGTTAAATACAAACTATATAATTCGTATGCTGCAAAAATAAAAATAAAAAAGCCCACTTAGAATGCCTCAACTCAATTTAGAACGTTTTCTTAGACGGATTAAATATTCGCTTTCGCGTTAATAGCACGAAAGAGATCGGCATTGATTGCCCCAAATGGACTAAATTGATAATCTTTAAACCCCCATATTTTTTTGCAAAAAATAGTCACATGAAAAAAGTTGTTTTCGCCGAAAAAGACGATTCGTCGAAAGAACTTGCCGGTGATTGCTTTGTTTATATAAAAAAAACAACCTACATTTCTCAATGATCTATTACTGAAACAACCAGAAAATTAGACAAAACAGCTTGCATCTGTGCAAAGCCCTGAATATTCCGACTCTGAGTATATATAATATACTCTGAGAAAAGCTCTGATTACATAGAAATTGGGAAAATTATCCACGCTATGTTAAATACAAACTATATAATTCGTATGCTGCAAAAATAAAAATAAAAAAGCCCAATTAGAATGCCTCAACTCAATTTGGAACGTTTTCTTAGACGGATTAAATATTCGCTTTCGCGTTAATAGCACGAAAGAGATCGGCATTGATTGCCCCAAATGGACTAAATTGATAATCTTTAAACCCCCATATTTTTTGCAAAAAATAGTCACAAGAAAAACATTTTTTTTTAAAAACCTGAACTCAAGTCAAAAATATTTTCCGGTTGATGTGAAAAAAGTCCGTATAAAAAACAGGCTAGTTGAAAATTTGTTTGGAGAAAAAATGACCCCGAGCACGATTGTTTCTTCACTTTTTCGAAAATCGCATTATAAAATGTTAATCTGATATTCGTTTTCAGCAATCAAGTGGATATTAAAGATTTCAACCAATAGAAAAAAATAGACACAAATGATAGTCTAAGTTGCTTTAAAGAGCTTTTTTGAAAGCAATATGACAAAATCTGTTACGAATACTTGTTTAGTAACAGAGTTGCTTGTTTCTTTACATAGCGTTGCTTGTTTCTTTACACTGATCTAACTGGCAAAAATGGTTTGCAACCTTTTTTAGTCAGATAAGGTAGAGATGCCCGAGAAAAATTGATTTAGATTTTGAACAACTTAGTGAGATAAAGTAAACATGTCCAGAGAAAAATCAATTCCGTTTTAAAATAGTTTAGAAATATATCAATTGAAATCCATCTTAATGTTTCTACCATTGAAAATGGGGCAAAAATTGGTGTTTGGGTGTGTTTTAGTTTTTTTTCCCCGCAAAATCAGGTACCACAAGTAATCATCGAACAAGGTTGAGTGATATATCATATAAAAACTCTTTTGGTTGTGATTTAAACGACATTTAAAAATTTCCAAAAAATATCCCAATGTCGAGAAAAACCGGTTCGAAAGTTTTGGTTTTTCGTCTGATTTCGACCAATCAAAGTGATAATAAATTGTTAAAATGATCATTTAGGCTGAGAATTTTGATTTTTCCAAATGGAAACTAGTTTTGAAAGCTATATTTGGCTCTTCCTTGGCAATAACAAAATATATGTATATATATTGTTAAAAAAAAGAAAAAACTTCGAATTGCTTTTGAATTTTTTTTTGTTTGATATTCGTTTTTTGAAAACAACTGTTGTCGACCGACTATGTTTAAGTTACGAACTTTTAACGCGTTTGTGTAGTTTTATCATCACCACGTACAGAAAACGACATTTGCATAACATAGTTACAAAAATCTGCTCGTATTAGGACGAAAACTTGAATGCCCAGACTGCTTTTTAACGTCTAGGAAAAAAATGTTGATAATTTTTTCAAATATTTTTTTTTGCAAATTTTCAATCCATTTGCTACGTAAAGTACAAAATTATGTATATAGCGTCTATTAACGTATAAACGTATAATTATGTATATAGCGTCTATTAGCGTCTATTAATGAATTTTTTGAGCGGGTTTTGTCGCCGCTTACGCGTTTTTAGCACGGAATAATTATGCATAAAATATCTTTTTAAAATTTGAGTGCAGAAAGCACTGAGTTTTTTTTTTCTCGTCATATAGAAACCCTGATCAAAATTGACTAGCTAAAAAGTCAAAAGTTGTTCACATAAACGGCTTGTTTTCAAATAATCGAGCGCAAATTCTTCTACATGGTTGTTTCACTATGGCAACTAAACTAGTCTTGCCACATAGCTTTTGCCGCTTCCGTTAGTCCATCGCTTTTTCAAGTTCCAAATTATGTTTAATTGTTTTCAACTGATGGTTTCAGATGAAATATTGCAAACACGATTAGGGTGGAATCCCTCATGTGCGAAGGACCGAATGCGCGAAAATAAAAATCAGCCGATCAGGTTTCAGTAATCTAAATTTTGGAAAGAAAACGAGAAAATCTGAAAGAAATTAAGCATTTCCATGGACTTAATATTGATATTGACCGAATATAAAACGGCAGAAATTTACTTTCACTGACCGCCGCCGAATTGGAACAAATTTTACATTTCAAGGGTTTCGTTATGAAAAATGCAAAATATTGCTTCATTTAATTTATTTCAATTGAATGGAAGATGATTCTTTTAAAAAAATGCCTTTCGGCTAATTTTATTTTCGGCCCTTTGCCCACGAGTTTTTCGCGCATGAGAATAGCCCCCACGATTAGCACTTAAAATCAAATGAATCATAGCTAGTTCTAATTAAAGATTGCAATTATTCCAATTTTGAATAGTTTTCTGGAATGTTTTGAAATCTAGAAAACATTCTGCGCACACCTTTGATTCACATAGCATTTATTACCTTCCGGATTGCGTTTATCTCCTGTTCACACGCATTGATCATCCCCATAAGCTCCGCAATCAGATCCTCCTCACTGGTCTTCTCCTGCCCCTGCCACATCTCATAATAGCCACACTCGGTCAGCCAGTTGCTAGTCTGCTGCTCATAGAAAGAGGACGTCACAGAGGGGGCTATGGAATGAGGGCCTGCACTGATGAAGGAGCCACGTGATTGGCTGGATGGACGCGAGTGATATGGTTGGTTGTTTATATTGTGCACATCGCACCAGGTTTTGAATGTCTCGTCCTGAAATTATCAAATAAAAAAATCGATTTTTGAGAAATACATACGTCTTTCATTGAGAACCTTTTCTGCCTTTCGATAAAAGTGCGTGCTGATTAGTTCGAGTACTGTTAGTGATTTGATTTCATCTTACTATTAAGGAGAGTTAATATAAAAATAACCTGCAAATTTTGAGCTAGTTCCGACACTGTTTAAGAAATTGGGCAATGGTTCCAACCCAAAAAAAAACACAGGAAAGAAGGTTCTGTTCTGGAAACCGCGAAACAACCTACCTTTTCCTGTTCTGGACTCGATTTTAAAACTGCTCAAATCACTTCTACCACGCCACTGCATATCATTGGTTTTTTCTATACCATTTAAATATATCGAGATGCCTTGAGTGAGAAATGAAAATCTCTTTCAACTAGGATTTTTTCTTGTTAAGTTTTGATGTTTAGAAGGACTCATCAGCTTAGACCAAATAAACTGAGAATAGAGTATGAAAAAAGAAATTTTGTAAGATATCAGTAACTACATCGCTCTAAGCAGTTCGATATTTCCTGTCAGTTTTTGTGCCAAACTAAAGAAACGTTGTGATTTTTTAGTTTGGCCAGTTTGTAGCGTTTTCGTGCCAAACTAATACTTTCTACATATCTAAATTGAGTGTACAAAATTCCGCATTTTAATTGACTGATCTTGAACAGCATTTTTGAGAATAAAAATTATCTAAGCCATGCCTTCAGTCTGACTTTTCTCAATGGCGCTCAAAGAAAATTTTAGTTCCAAATCTCATAACATTTTCTAAATTCTAATTTTTAAAGGTACTAAACTCTGGTTAAATGATTTTGATAAAATTGCGGTACCCCAAAAAACGTTTAGTCACAAAATAGCCAGCTGCCCATAGACTGATCTCCAATAGATGATCTTCGCTGAACATGTAATACTCATTGAAATACAACGATGATTCATCAATAAAAAGTGAACAAAAATCAATTCTTTGCTATAATAAATTTGCTTCAAATTGTGCAAAAATCCAACAATATAGATAACTTATCACTGAATAAGCATCAATTTGATCAAGCGCAGAAGGTAATACAACCTGTTGCAGCGCCGCCGAGAACTTTCCATTAAGTACAATCTTCTAGGTACACTGAGTACTATTGGTTAAGCTATGTACCATGTAACCAGAAAAAAGTTATGAAAAAATTGTTGCAGTTTTTAGATCTAGGCAATAATATGAATTTTCCCAAAAAAAGTCAGGCTTTGCTTTAATGTATTCCCATTTCAATCAATTTTTTTTTGCTATTTTCGTTATGTTGAAATACCAAAACAATATATCGCGCGAAAACAAAATATCACTTGAAAAACATAAGTTTTTATTTGGAACCTAATTAGTAAATCAATAAGCAACAAAACATTTATAAACCACAGCGCTACATCATTGAAAAAATCACAGATTCATCGTTGAATAATTCATAAATAGTTTATCGGTAGCTCATTACCGAAAAACATTTGTCGATGAGCCAAAAACTATCATCGGTTATAAAAAAAAATTAGAGCTAATGAGTTAAATAACACCAAATCATTGTTGATTAACTACGGAATGTCCGACAGGGTGTGTTCAATTAAACAAAAAAGAGAAACTAAGAAATTCGGGTGTTACGTGCATGATGCCATCAAAAGCAACCAGCCAAAAATTAAACAAGTTGTTTAACCGGTCAATTTATTTTCGAAAAAATTCTGAGCAATTAGCATGCTTCAATTCAACTTGAAATAAAATGGAGTTCAAATTTGCTTGCCACGCATATATATTTTGCGTAAAAACTTTAGCAATTAAAAATAATCTCAGAAATTTGCGTAAACTAGTCCAAGCTGAGCCCCCAAATCTTCTCCGAAAAAGATAGCAGGCAAATATGTGCTTGAGTTTGAACCTAGCTAGTTGATATAACCATCGGAGTCTAACAGTTTTTTGTTGAAAATTATGATTTCGGTGACCAAATGTAGTCTGATGAAAAACAGCCCCGATTCATATTTATTTGTTACTTTATTCAAAACACCTAGCAACAAGTGTTAGACGCCGAAGCAAAAAACTAACGCATGCTTCAATAAATAACTTGTGAGATCTAGAAAGGATTCATACCTAATCATCTCAACTCTTACTTTAAGTCAAAAAGAAAAAATCAGCTTTTTTTAACAATTGCTTCAACGTGCAAATTCCCGTATCTTAAGTATAAGCCCGCATTGGAGTTCGAGGCAACAAAATCCTCTTTTCATCCCTTATAATCGATTTTTTTTTCACTTTTGTGGACACTGACAATGAAACTAAATTATAATCGATTTTTTCCCACTTTACTGAGATGCGAGTTTTAACGCACATAAAGCCTTTTCTACGTTTTAAACTAAAGTTGGTTACGTTGGTTGCCTGTTGTTCAATTTAGTTTTTTTCTGACTACCTTCGGTAACTTTTTTTTTTTTTTTTGGGGAGGGGGGTTCAGTGGGCGGGATGAATTCAGGCGGGGGGGGGGGGGGGCGGTTGTTCAGGTGGTGGGGGTTGTTCAGGTGGGGGGAGGGCGTTCAGGTGGGGGAGGGGGGTGGAAGCAAAGGGGCAAACATTAGGGGGATTGAAGGGGAGCAAAGGGGCAAACGTTAGGGGTAAACATTGGTTAAGGGGAGAGCTTAACGGAATCTTTTTGCAATTTGAGCTTAGGTTTAGAAATGGATTAGGCAGTACACTCGCTTTGCAAAGTTCCCGCATAACTCACTTGATAAATGCAAAAATTCTTGCAATATTTTGCACGACGCGCGAAACAAAAATCAAGTGGAAAAAAAAACATTTTAATGTGATTTCCTAGTTATTATAAAATCCATTATAATGGATTCCAAATGCATTATAATGTATTTTGTTTTGGCGAGAAAAAATGGATTTAAATCCATTTTTAGTCCAATTTTATTGTCAGAACGTAACATGGGAATCAATTGTATTTACAACATTTTAGACCACGAAAATCCATTGTAATCGATTCGTTTTCACTTTTTTTTTAATGCGGGAGGCAACTATATATTCTAATTAGTGGTCAGTCATTACGCAGAATGGTCTACGAGCAGAACGGGACCAAGACCATAAAACAGAAAATATCAACTTTTATAAGCTAATCGGTATATTAATTATAAGAATAGTCAATATTACCAAAGAAACGACTAGTGTACGCATAATTTGAGAAAAAATCAATCAATAAAATAATGAAATTTTCCAATTCATGCATAATTTATTCATTTTCGTGTTATTATTGAAGATTATAATAATCGCTTTATCAATTGGCCTGTATAAAACAATAAAAGTCAATATTTTTCTGTTTTTCTGCTCTTGGACCCATTTTACACTTGGACCATTCTACTTTTTGCTCCGCCTCCATTCTAATTGTACAAGAGGCATATGAATCGGAAAAGACCAGTTTTTTCCCAAAAAATTTTACACCAAAAATTTGTCTGGTTAAGCGTTCCAGTTGTCATAAATATTTGCACATGCACTAATTAGCTCATGCAATCAGTACAGCGACATTTTGCAGTCAAGGGCAACTTGCAACAAAACACAACTAAATAAGTTAAAGGACAGCGACCACTCGCTAAGTTAGTAAATAAAGCGGTCTTGGTAAGTATCGAAAGCTCGTTCTGCTTCGCTCCGCTAAGCTTACTAGGCACGACTGATACATCAATCGCGTTCCAAGCAGTAATGTTTGGCGTTAGTGGTTTTTTAATCAAAAAGCTATATTTTGTTGCAAATGAAATAATGCGAGTTTGTTTTTTGTTGCGAGTCTTTTTTATTGCGAGTTGTCGTATTACGCATTCAATCACTGAATGCTCCAACGAAATTGTCGTTTAAGAGTCAAGGCTAAAATGCTTCTTTGCTTTTCCCCTCACTAGTGATTTTTTAGTTCAAAAATTCATTTCACCTGGTTTCATTGCAAAACAAAATGAAATTTTTTTTTTCATTTGTAGTCACATTTGCTCAGCGCATACTTAGTCAAAATGATTTCAAAGTCAAGTTAGAGAAAAGGAAAAGAGAAACCAATCGAGACAAATTGCTGTGCTGAAAAATACCCACAGCTGAAAAACCAGCAAAAAAATCATTGTCTATTTTCTTCACCCAATATCACAAAAACCTGAAATTAATGCTATGAATGATTTTACAAGATAAATATCAAATCAAATAAGTTTTTTATCACCCTATACACATGCTGCGTAAAGCGGTGGTGATAAGGTTACGACTCAGCCTATCAGTCGAAAGCTAAGATGCTCGAGGACCACCATAGCTCGTGAGCTCTTTTGCTAAATAGCTGGTCTCAATTGTTTTTGGAACTACTTCTGAGCCGGGTTGAATCACAGGTTTTGCAATAATAGCACGAAATATATCGCAAGTATATTCTCCGAAATTGGCAACTTTGACACCCTCATAACTTCACGAAAACTTTCACTGGTCAGAGATTTTTCTATTTGAGCTCAAAAAATTGATATTCTTATTCTTTAGATGGTATAAAAAGTTTCTTCATTAATGGCTAGTTAAAAATAGAACTTTGAAGGCTTTTTCAGAAAAATTTACGCGTCATCTACTAGAAATGAATGTCATAAAATATAGTACCGAAGTGTCTCCTTTTGGGTAGAGGGGTCAAAACCCTGAGAAGGAAGCGTCGAACCCACCTTCTAAATTTTTTTTGGAAATCTGGGATACTTGTGATTAAAGTGCATAATCAAATTGACTATCCAACAAAAAATTCAATTTTAAATGCTTTGTTAACTAGTCAATGAGAAAGACACACTCTTACCATGATGTAGTTGAGCATGGATTGTAAAACGTGTAAGCAGGCGGCATTGGCGGTCAGGTTCTTCAGAGTGGGACTCAACAGCAAGCCATTGTACTCCAGGTTAGTCAACAGCTGCAATAAAAACCCAAAACTTTTTTTATCTCGGCGATTTAAAACTAAAGAAAATGTTGTCAAAATCTTTGCTACATTAAAATATTTTCATCATGATACACATTGCTATGCCAATAATTTTGAAACTTTGAATTAATTTTGTAGTAACTTTGAAAAGCTGAAATTAATCGTCATCAAAGAAATAAGTTTCAATCATCGAAGATAAGGATTCCAAGAGAGGAAAACTGATTTGAGAAAAACTGATTTTGTCTGGGAAAAAATCTAGCAATCAGTCAAGCAGATACATGTATGGTAAATGGATCCCTGTAAATCTAAGTATGAAAGATGGCACTATCAGTTACATCAAAATGCTGTTTTTCTTGAGATTTTAGGGCACGCAATATTTTCATTGTATTTGTAAATATACTCAACTGGCAGGCCAATTTTCAATTTGTATGACAATTGGATTATGAAAACAAAAATTAACCATCCCAAAGGATCGAATAAGATAATCATATAGAAAGGCAATTTAATCAGCTGGCCAAACTCTATGACAACTGGACCATAGAAACAAGAACTATTATTAAAAAAAAATTTCTGAAATGGGGGACAGCAGACGAGTCATAACCACTTCTACATACCTCTTTGAAGAAGTCGACTAATGGTTCCATGGAGTGGAACTGAAGAGATAGAGCGAGGAGAGTGACTGCAATGTCATCAAACGCATGTGCACACACTTTGAACTCACTGCAAACAATAAGATAAGCTCAACAATTACTCAGCTTCTTCAAAATCTGCCTCTTGCAGAAAACTAAAGCAGTCAACAAACTCTAGACGACACTTAGGATGTGGCGTCTAAGATTCGATGGCATTTTAAGGGTTTTTGAGAGCTCTACTACGCACTGAGAACTGATTGATTAATGAACCATCGATCATTTTATACGAGCAGTAAGAAAACTACACAAGAAACAAAACTGGTTCCAGAGTCAAAGATGCGCAAAACTTTATGAAATAAATGACTCCGAATGTTTTTATTTCCGTTAATTTGTTTTGAAAATTGGAAAACCTTGAAATAATTCTCTACATATCTCACAGTCGTAGCAGATTTGTGGGAGGGAGAAAAAACGATCGAGCCAAACAGCAAAATAAAATGAAAACTAACTCCAGCTCTTGTCTAACAATGGACAGTTGTTCTTTGACTGCCGTTTCAACCACTTCTAAAGACACTTCTCTGCATTTCAAACTCCTCTCTTGCTCCTGCTGTTCCTTATTGGATACTGATAATGACGTCACTCCTACGACATCATCTCTCTCTGTTGCTTCGAGTTGCTTTTGAATTTTTCTTTTTTTGTTTGATATTCGTTGTTTGAAAACAACTGTTGTCGACCGACTATGCTTAAGTTACGAACTTTTTACGCGTTTGTGTAGTTTTATCATCTCCACGTACAAAAACCGACATTTGCATAACATAGTTAAAAAAATCTGCTCGTATTAGGACGAAAACTTGAATGCCCAGACTGCTTTTTAACGTCTAGGAAAAAAATGTTGATAATTTTTTCAAATATTTTTTTTTGCAAATTTTCAATCCATTTGCTACGTAAAGTACAAAATTATGTATATAGCGTCTATTAACGTATAAATTAGCCCAAATAATTTTTTCAACTCAAAAACGAATTTTTTGAGCGGGTTTTGTCGCCGCTTACGCGTTTTTAGCACGGAATAATCATGCGTAAATATCTTTTTAAAATTTGAGTGCAGAAAGGACTGAATTTTTTTTTCTCGTCATATAGAAACTCAACATATCAAAATTGACTGACTAAAAGTTTTCAAATAATCGAGCACAAATAATCTGCAAATTCTTCTACATGGTTGTTTCACTATGGCAACTAAACTAGTCTTGCCACATAGCTTTTGCCGCTTCCGTTAGTCCATCGCTTTTTCAAGTTCCAAATTATGTTTAATTGTTTTCAACTGATGGTTTCAGATAAAATATTGCAAACACCATTAGGGTGGAATCCCTCATGTGCGAAGGAGCGAATGCGCAAAAATAAAAATCAGCCGATCAGGTTTCAGTATTCTAAATTTTGGAAAGAAAACGAGAAAATCTGAAATAAATTAAGCATTTCCATGGATTTAAAATTGATATTGACCGAATATAAAACGGCAGAAATTTACTTTTACTGACCGCCGCCGAATTGGAACAAATTTTATATGTCAAGGGTTTCGTTATGAAAAATGCAAAATATTGCTTCATTTAATTTATTTCAATTGAATGGAAGATGATTCTTTTAAAAAATTGCCTTTCGGCTTATTTTATTTTCGGCCCTTTGCCCACGAGTTTTTTGCGCATGAGAATAGCCCCCCACGATTAGCACTTAAAATCAAATGAATCATAGCTAGTTCTAATTAAAGATTGCAATTATTCCAATTTTGAATAGTTTTCTGGAACGTTTTGAAATCTAGAAAACATTCTGCGCACACTTTTGATTCACATAGCAATTTATTACCTTCCGGATTGCGTTTATCTCCTGTTCACACGCATTGATCATCCCCATAAGCTCCGCAATCAGATCCTCCCCACTGGTCTTCTCCTGCCCCTGCCACATCTCATAATAGCCACACTCGGTCAGCCAGTTGCTAGTCTGCTGCTCATAGAAAGAGGACGTCACAGAGGGGGCTATGGAATGAGGGCCTGCACTGATGAAGGAGCCACGTGATTGGCTGGATGGACGCGAGTGATATGGTTGGTTGTTTATATTGTGCACATCGCACCAGGTTTTGAATGTCTCGTCCTGAAATTATCAAATAAAAAAGTCGATTTTTGAGAAATACATTCGTCTTTCATTGAGAACCTTTTCTGCCTTTCGATAAAAGTGCGTGCTGATTAGTTCGAGTACTGTTAGTGATTTGATTTCATCTTACTATTAAGGAGAGTTAATATAAAAATAACCTGCAAATTTTGAGCTAGTTCCGACACTGTTTAAGAAATTGGGCAATGATTCCAACCCAAAAAAAAACACAGGAAAGAAGGTTCTGTTCTGGAAACCGCGAAACAACCTACCTTTTCCTGTTCTGGACTCGATTTTAAAACTGCTCAAATCACTTCTACCACGCCACTGCATATCATTGGTTTTTTCTATACCATTTAAATATATCGAGATGCCTTGAGTGAGAAATGAAAATCTCTTTCAACCAGGATTTTTTCTTGTTAAGTTTTGATGTTTAGAAGGACTCATCAGCTTAGACCAAATAAACTGAGAATAGAGTATGAAAAAAGAAATTTTGTAAGATATCAGTAACTACATCGCTCTAAGCAGTTCGATATTTCCTGTCAGTTTTTGTGCCAAACTAAAGAAACGTTGTGATTTTTTAGTTTGGCCAGTTTGTAGCGTTTTCGTGCCAAACTAATACTTTCTACATATCTAAATTGAGTGTACAAAATTCCGCATTTTAATTGACTGATCTTGAACAGCATTTTTGAGAATAAAAATTATCTAAGCCATGCCTTCAGTCTGACTTTTCTCAATGGCGCTCAAAGAAAATTTTAGTTCCAAATCTCATAACATTTTCTAAATTCTAATTTTTAAAGGTACTAAACTCTGGTTAAATGATTTTGATAAAATTGCGGTACCCCAAAAAACGTTTAGTCACAAAATAGCCAGCTGCCCATAGACTGATCTCCAATAGATGATCTTCGCTGAACATGTAATACTCATTGAAATACAACGATGATTCATCAATAAAAAGTGAACAAAAATCAATTCTTTGCTATAATAAATTTGCTTCAAATTGTGCAAAAATCCAACAATATAGATAACTTATCACTGAATAAGCATCAATTTGATCAAGCGCAGAAGGTAATACAACCTGTTGCAGCGCCGCCGAGAACTTTCCATTAAGTACAATCTTCTAGGTACACTGAGTACTATTGGTTAAGCTATGTACCATGTAACCAGAAAAAAGTTATGAAAAAATTGTTGCAGTTTTTAGATCTAGGCAATAATATGAATTTTCCCAAAAAAAGTCAGGCTTTGCTTTAATGTATTCCCATTTCAATCAATTTTTTTTTGCTATTTTCGTTATGTTGAAATACCAAAACAATATATCGCGCGAAAACAAAATATCACTTGAAAAACATAAGTTTTTATTTGGAACCTAATTAGTAAATCAATAAGCAACAAAACATTTATAAACCACAGCGCTACATCATTGAAAAAATCACAGATTCATCGTTGAATAATTCATAAATAGTTTATCGGTAGCTCATTACCGAAAAACATTTGTCGATGAGCCAAAAACTATCATCGGTTATAAAAAAAAATTAGAGCGAATGAGTTAAATAACACCAAATCATTGTTGATTAACTACGGAATGTCCGACAGGGTGTGTTCAATTAAACAAAAAAGAGAAACTAAGAAATTCGGGTGTTACGTGCATGATGCCATCAAAAGCAACCAGCCAAAAATTAAACAAGTTGTTTAACCGGTCAATTTATTTTCGAAAAAATTCTGAGCAATTAGCATGCTTCAATTCAACTTGAAATAAAATGGAGTTCAAATTTGCTTGCCACGCATATATATTTTGCGTAAAAACTTTAGCAATTAAAAATAATCTCAGAAATTTGCGTAAACTAGTCCAAGCTGAGCCCCCAAATCTTCTCCGAAAAAGATAGCAGGCAAATATGTGCTTGAGTTTGAACCTAGCTAGTTGATATAACCATCGGAGTCTAACAGTTTTTTGTTGAAAATTATGATTTCGGTGACCAAATGTAGTCTGATGAAAAACAGCCCCAATTCATATTTATTTGTTACTTTATTCAAAACACCTAGCAACAAGTGTTAGACGCCGAAGCAAAAAACTAACGCATGCTTCAATAAATAATTTGTGAGATCTAGAAAGGATTCATACCTAATCATCTCAACTCTTACTTTAAGTCAAAAAGAAAAAATCAGCTTTTTTTAACAATTGCTTCAACGTGCAAATTCCCGTATCTTAAGTATAAGCCCGCATTGGAGTTCGAGGCAACAAAATCCTCTTTTCATCCCTTATAATCGATTTTTTTTTTCACTTTTGTGGACACTGACAATGAAACTAAATTATAATCGATTTTTTCCCACTTTACTGAGATGCGAGTTTTAACGCACATAAAGCCTTTTCTACGTTTTAAACTAAAGTTGGTTACGTTGGTTGCCTGTTGTTCAATTTAGTTTTTTTCTGACTACCTTCGGTAACTTTTTTTTTTTTTTTGGGGAGGGGGGTTCAGTGGGCGGGATGAATTCAGGCGGGGGGGGGCGGTTGTTCAGGTGGTGGGGGTTGTTCAGGTGGGGGGAGGGCGTTCAGGTGGGGGAGGGGGGTGAAAGCAAAGGGGCAAACATTAGGGGGATTGAAGGGGAGCAAAGGGGCAAACGTTAGGGGTAAACATTGGTTAAGGGGAGAGCTTAACGGAATCTTTTTGCAATTTGAGCTTAGGTTTAGAAATGGATTAGGCAGTACACTCGCTTTGCAAAGTTCCCGCATAACTCACTTGATAAATGCAAAAATTCTTGCAATATTTTGCACGCGAAACAAAAATCAAGTGGAAAAAAAACATTTTAATGTGATTTCCTAGTTATTATAAAATCCATTATAATGGATTCCAAATGCATTATAATGTATTTTGTTTTGGCGAGAAAAAATGGATTTAAATCCATTTTTAGTCCAATTTTATTGTCAGAACGTAACATGGGAATCAATTGTATTTACAACATTTTAGACCACGAAAATCCATTGTAATCGATTCGTTTTCACTTTTTTTTTAATGCGGGAGGCAACTATATGTTCTAATTAGTGGTCAGTCATTACGCAGAATGGTCTACGAGCAGAACGGGACCAAGACCATAAAACAGAAAATATCAACTTTTATAAGCTAATCGGTATATTAATTATAAGAATAGTCAATATTACCAAAGAAACGACTAGTGTACGCATAATTTGAGAAAAAATCAATCAATAAAATAATGAAATTTTCCAATTCATGCATAATTTATTCATTTTCGTGTTATTATTGAAGATTATAATAATCGCTTTATCAATTGGCCTGTATAAAACAATAAAAGTCAATATTTTTCTGTTTTTCTGCTCTTGGACCCATTTTACACTTGGACCATTCTACTTTTTGCTCCGCCTCCATTCTAATTGTACAAGAGGCATATGAATCGGAAAAGACCAGTTTTTTCCCAAAAAATTTTACACCAAAAATTTGTCTGGTTAAGCGTTCCAGTTGTCATAAATATTTGCACATGCACTAATTAGCTCATGCAATCAGTACAGCGACATTTTGCAGTCAAGGGCAACTTGCAACAAAACACAACTAAATAAGTTAAAGGACAGCGACCACTCGCTAAGTTAGTAAATAAAGCGGTCTTGGTAAGTATCGAAAGCTCGTTCTGCTTCGCTCCGCTAAGCTTACTAGGCACGACTGATACATCAATCGCGTTCCAAGCAGTAATGTTTGGCGTTAGTGGTTTTTTAATCAAAAAGCTATATTTTGTTGCAAATGAAATAATGCGAGTTTGTTTTTTGTTGCGAGTCTTTTTTATTGCGAGTTGTCGTATTACGCATTCAATCACTGAATGCTCCAACGAAATTGTCGTTTAAGAGTCAAGGCTAAAATGCTTCTTTGCTTTTCCCCTCACTAGTGATTTTTTAGTTCAAAAATTCATTTCACCTGGTTTCATTGCAAAACAAAATGAAATTTTTTTTTTCATTTGTAGTCACATTTGCTCAGCGCATACTTAGTCAAAATGATTTCAAAGTCAAGTTAGAGAAAAGGAAAAGAGAAACCAATCGAGACAAATTGCTGTGCTGAAAAATACCCACAGCTGAAAAACCAGCAAAAAAATCATTGTCTATTTTCTTCACCCAATATCACAAAAACCTGAAATTAATGCTATGAATGATTTTACAAGATAAATATCAAATCAAATAAGTTTTTTATCACCCTATACACATGCTGCGTAAAGCGGTGGTGATAAGGTTACGACTCAGCCTATCAGTCGAAAGCTAAGATGCTCGAGGACCACCATAGCTCGTGAGCTCTTTTGCTAAATAGCTGGTCTCAATTGTTTTTGGAACTACTTCTGAGCCGGGTTGAATCACAGGTTTTGCAATAATAGCACGAAATATATCGCAAGTATATTCTCCGAAATTGGCAACTTTGACACCCTCATAACTTCACGAAAACTTTCACTGGTCAGAGATTTTTCTATTTGAGCTCAAAAAATTGATATTCTTATTCTTTAGATGGTATAAAAAGTTTCTTCATTAATGGCTAGTTAAAAATAGAACTTTGAAGGCTTTTTCAGAAAAATTTACGCGTCATCTACTAGAAATGAATGTCATAAAATATAGTACCGAAGTGTCTCCTTTTGGGTAGAGGGGTCAAAACCCTGAGAAGGAAGCGTCGAACCCACCTTCTAAATTTTTTTTGGAAAACTGGGATACTTGTGATTAAAGTGCATAATCAAATTGACTATCCAACAAAAAATTCAATTTTAAATGCTTTGTTAACTAGTCAATGAGAAAGACACACTCTTACCATGATGTAGTTGAGCATGGATTGTAAAACGTGTAAGCAGGCGGCATTGGCGGTCAGGTTCTTCAGAGTGGGACTCAACAGCAAGCCATTGTACTCCAGGTTAGTCAACAGCTGCAATAAAAACCCAAAACTTTTTTTATCTCGGCGATTTAAAACTCATCAAGAAAATGTTGTCAAAATCTTTGCTCCAATAAAATATTTTCACCATGATATACATTGCTATGCCAATAATTTTGAAACTTTGAATTAATTTTGTAGTAACTTTGAAAATTTGAAATATATCATCATCAAAGAAATAAGTTTCAATCATCGAAGACAAGGATTCCAAGAGAGGAAAACTGATTAGAGCAAAAACTGATTTGAGAAAAACTGATTTGAGAAAAACTGATTTTGTCTGTGAAAAAATCTTGCAATCAGTCAAAAAGGTACATATATGGTAAATGGGTCCCTTTAAATGTAAGTATGAAAGATTTCAGTTACATTAAAATGCTGTTTTTCTTGAGATTTTAGGGCACGCAAATTTTTCATTGTATTTGTGCCCCAAAACTGGCAGGCCAATTTTCAATTTACGTGACAATTGAATTATGAAAACAAAAATCAACCATCCCAAAACTGATCGAATAAGATAATCATATAGAAGTGCTATGAAAACAAAAGGCAAATTAATCAGCTGGTCAAATTCATTGACAACTGGGCCATGGAAACAAGAACTATTATAAAAAAAATTCCTGGTGGGGGACAGCAGACGAGTCATAATCACTTCTACATACCTCTTTGAAGAAGTCGACTAATGGTTCCATGGAGTGGAACTGAAGAGATAGAGCGAGGAGTGTGACTGCAATGTCATCAGACGCATGTGCACACACTTTGAACTCACTGCAAACAATAAGATAAGCTCAACAATTACTCTGCTTGTTCAAAATCTGCCTTTTGCAGAAAACTAATGCAGTCAACAAATTCTAGACGACACTTAGGATGTGGCGTCTAAGATTAGATGGCATTTTTAGGGTTTCTGAGAGCTCTTTTACGCTCTGAGAACTGATTGATTAATGAACCATCGAATATTTTAATACGAGCAGTAAGAAAACTACCCAAGAAACAAAACTGGTTCCAGAATCAAAGATGCGCAGAACTTTATGAAATAAATGACTCCGAAAGTTTTTACTTCCGTTAATTTGTTTAGAAAAATGGAAAACCTTGAAATAATATTCTACATATCTCACAGTCGTAGCAGATTTGTGGGAGGGAGAAAAAACGATCAAGCCAAACAGTATAATAAAATGAAAACTAACTCCAGCTCCTGTCTAACAATGGACAGTTGTTCTTTAATTGCCGTTTCAACCACTTCTAAAGACACTTCTCTGCATTTCAAACTCCTCTCTTGCTCCTGCTGTTCCTTATTGGATACTGATAATGACGTCACTCCTACGTCATCGTCTCTCTCTGCGTCTGATTTGTAGCCAAGGTCGGAGTATGAAAACTTGACTGGCTTCCATTCTGGAGAAAAAAAATTTGCTCTTTAATTAATTTTAAGTACGATTTCAAGAAAACGTGGCAAAAAATCTGGACTAAAAATCAAAAGAGTCCCGGTCGCTGAACAAATAGCACAAAATCTTATTGCACTCGCTTATCAATTTTTAGTAACAAAAAGACAAACAGTTGCTGTGCAGGTAGCATAGAATGTTTTTACCTCGCTAGTTTGTATAACAAAATTTGGAAGAAAAAAAATAAGAAAAAAGAATAATAAAAAGTTGTTTTTAACTTTTTGAAACATTTATTATATTACTTTAAACTTTATTGTTTTTATTTTAGTTAATGAGCGGAGACTGAATTGCCTAATAAACCAAAAAAAAGAAAACAAATGAAATTTTGACTAAATTCAAGACGAGTTAGATTGGAAGCTCACTTTAAAATTCCAGTCTGAAAACTAATTAGTCTGAAAAACAAGAACATAGCAAATAGACATTTGGAAAAGAATCAATGAATGCAAGTAAACAGAAAAAAAACTGCCTTGTTTTTTTAAAATCTCAACTTGCGAATTTTACAGAAAAAAATTAGATGCCCTTCAATTTTTCGATTTTCTAGAAATATTTATGATCAACATTTTTGGTAAAATTATCAAATTAACCCAACTTCACTTTTGAAACTAGAAGATGATCACGTGTTTCGTGACCTTTACACTTTTGCTGTTCAATGGTTAATTTTGTCTTGCCTTTAGTGGATGTTGCTTTCCTCTAAACAAAGGATATAAGCTGGACTTAAAAAAAATCAAGTCAAACCGCAAAAAAGTAAAATAGAGACTGAACATACAGTAAAACTTTTCCTGATTCTAAATTCCGTTATTTTAAGTTAAAAAATAAGGACAAACAAGCCTTAGATTTCTATCACTTCAAACTGAGTCTATACTATTTTTTTAAATTTTGATTTTAAGTTTCAAGTTATTTGAATTTAACTCCGTATTATAGAACACATTTCTTAGGAATGCTTTTCCGCCGGCAAACTTAAATCTTTTAACTTGCCATTATTGACAAATTTTTGTACATAGAGGCAAAGCGAAGCTTTGCAATCTTTGCAATGCAACAAAATTATAAAAAACACAAGAAGTCGAAAAAAAAATTAAAATTTATAAAAAAATACAATAAAAGGATAACCAAAATTTTAAATTTCTCGAAATGTCTCGATAGAAACTATTTTCAGTCAAAATCCCAAAATCTTGAATATTAAATTAGCAACAGAGCAAAACTTACAAAGAGTCAACAAAGTCGACAATCTTCGAGCAAACACAAGTTGATACGAAAAAAAAATGATTATTTAAAAAAAAATCTTCAAGTTGTAAGCCCCATACTACCATGAACAACACTTAAACTTGCAACTATAACGAAACTTGCTTACCGCAGAGTAAAAATCAGTAAAACAGCCGACAGACTTTAAGCAGACAACAGTTGCACCGAAAAAAAATTGATTTTAAGAAAAAAATTAAAAACCTTCAAGTTCTTCGCTGAAACTAGAATGAACAACACTTGCACTGGCAATAAAAGAAAAGTTGATTTCAGCAGAAGCAAAGTCCCAGATATAGCAATTTAAAATAAAAAATTATATCGGACGAACGAAAATCCGACAAATCAATTTTAACCGAATAATTTTTTCCATTGCATGCAAACTGAAAAAAAACGACGTCAAGTCGAGATGCGAATCCTAGACCTTAGGCTGGAAAGGCAACAGTTTTACCCCTAGGCCAATTAATAATGAAACTGAACGATGTTAAGGTTCAATATTATAAACACGGGCAAAGCGATACCACAAAAACTGCATTGCAAGCTAGCAGGTTTGTAATGAAGGTTTATTTGCAAAAAAAACACGTCCAGAAACACATTCATTAGCGTCTAATGAAATTTCAAAAATAAATATTGAGCAAAAATTAAATTTTTGTCGTGAAAAACTTTCAACTTTAAATAATATTATGAAATTTTCAACGTTTTGTTCCAACCGGAGCAAAGCATGCAAATTATTTTTCACTCAAACGAGCCAAAATTAGGTTAGTATGCCGATAAAATAGAAGCCAAAATCATTAAAGCCGAAAAAATTTACAGCAAAAAACGAAAAAGAAAGTAAACGATGTCAAAGCTAGTAGAATTAAAGATTGAAAGAGTAAATGAAAACATAAAAAGCAACAAAACGGAAACTGCATAAAGCAAAAAATTCTAAGATGTGGCAACTAAGTCGACAAAATTCAAGCAGACAAATAATAAAGCGACAAATTTTCTGAAACTGAATATTTCTCGTTTAAAAAAAACAGTCCCTATTCAGATTCCCACCCAGGACTTTTGTTGTCACAAGCGTATTCGTTACCTCCAGACTAAGTCTTCCACATTTGTCTAAAAATTTGAATTCATTGTGAATTAGGACACCAAAAGATTCAAGTAACCCTGTTAAACAAATAGTTAATCCAAAAAAGGCTATTCGAAAGCTTAATCATCCGAAGGTCATTGAAAACCTGAGTGTAAAGCTCACACAACTATATTTCATAGCAGCCATTTTTTGTTAGTTATCGGTCTTTGAAAGTTGCCTTGTTGACCAATTTGGAACAAGTAATGCACGATTTCATTCGTCCTCTGAAAGCACCAGGGGCGATTTAAATCAATTTGGTTTCAATTGAGATATGCGATTTGGTTTATCAGACTTATTTAATTCATATTCAGATTTAAAAAACAAATCATATTGTAGTTAGCATAGCATCGATCGACTGTACTTAATAACAGTTGATCAATAACACGAGCAATCGATTTGTTTGATTGTTTCAATGATAAAAAATTGCAATAAAACTGATACTTTTTTTGCAAACTAGGCATAGAATTTTTGGAGGAAATAACCTTTTCGATTTGCTTTTTTTCCAGAAACTTTTTTGTTCCTCGCTTGACTACACCTTTCCATTTTTTTGCCATTTTTTGTTCGTTGAAAAGTAATGAAAAATTTTTCTGTCGACTTATTTTCGCATTCAGACCAAATCCTTACCTATTCTCAATTGAATAAACCGAACCTGCGGTTTGTCAGGGCAATCATTTTTTGGCCTAATTTTGGATTATTTAATGGTCAATTTGCGCAATGAATCTTTTTGAAGTTTGCATAGCATCGATTGAATGAGTTAAGAAGAGTCAATCGATGACACGAACACTTAAACAATACGAGCTGGTATTAATTACTGTAAAATACTACCTGAAAACTGGTTTTAGCAAACTGATTATTTAAAATTTAGATAGCGAAGTTCAAGTGCAATATGCAGGTCAAAATTGCTACAAAAAAGTTATTGCTTGATCGTATTTGTTTATTCCGTAATCGTTTTTTTTTCGAAAGATACCAGTGACTTAGTTAAGTCTGACAATAACCGAGTCTAGGTGTCTAAAAACAATTTTTCTCGTCATCGAAACACTTCAGGTTTCTTATTGGAAAAAAATATCTTTTTCTAAGTTATTCTAGTAACCGCAAACGTTCGACCATTTGCAGGGAAAACATTACGCAAATTAGCAAAGCCAAAGATATCAAAAACAATTTTCTAATATTTGATTAAATACAAAGACTGATGTACTGTAATATACAACAAGGATAGCCGGTTGCTGTGCCAGTAGCTTCAAAGTTTCTGACCACAACGATAGAAAACTATTGCATTTATTTTGTTTTTTGATCAAATTGTCGTTTTTATCCGTGGTTAGACAAGTCGAAATGAAAAAAGCCTAGAAATTAGGCATATCCGATATTAATAGTAAATTGGGCACACTCGACACCAAATCTTTAAAAGAACCAAAAGTTGAAAGATAAACAATAAAAACCAAAAAAAATCCTGTTTATATCAATCAAATTTCTGCAACATTTTTTAAATTGAAATCTTTGTTTTTTTTTCGTTTGCATGAAAGCGCTAATAAACCATTAAAAACTTCCTAGCCTAAAAATAAATTCTCGCGGCTTCAATAAAAGCTTATTCTGCTATTGAAAGCCTGCTCCGTTGCCTTATTTGCTGAAAATTAGCCAAAAAATCAATAAATCAAACCGTTTTTTTTCTGCTCTTTTATGGAACACCACTGAGAAGGCTTTGATATGGCATATCAATCAATCCATTCTTGCTTTTCGTGGTACGCAATTTTCCGTGGAAAAAAACCATAGCCAACTTTTTTTGCTAAATTTAATTAATTTAGAGAAAACTTGATCAATAGTTAAATTATTTATTCCTTATTCCGCTGCCAAATCTGAAAACTAAATCACAAATTCGAAACTAGGAGTTGATTACGTTTTTTGTTTGATAGTGGAGTTTGTCTTCAATCAAGGAAATGAAGTGAACTTTAAATCATACGTCAAACTTCGGATAATCAAATTTGAGCGTGAAAAATTTTTCCTGGAAACAAAACAAAAAATCAATAAGACCTATTTAAGAGTATTCAATACGTTCATGACTTTTCAAAAGTCAAAACAAAAAACTATAGCACACCCGAAGACCAAGTTCCTCCTCATTTTCAAAATCATTTCGTTGACAATGCACTTCTTTTCTTAGTCATTTGATAAGTTGTTTTTCTGATTAGACATACATGGTACATCGATAATTATTAAAATTTCTCACTAGTCGAAAACGCAGAACTGAAAGATACTCCAGGGTTTTTATTTGCTTAAAATTTTACTTGAAGATCTCTGATCTGCCTTTGTTCATGAAAGAATCGACGTTTACTTTTTGAAAACATTAACTATTTAATTCCCTTACCAAAGGTGTGTCTTTTTTTAATGAGTAACACTTACCTGTGTAGATTGCAGCAGCAGCCGATTCTTTCTGTGGGTCACCGGCATAAGCACTTGTGTCAAACAGTGTTAAATAAAAGCCATAGTGACTAAGCGTCAAATTAGGCATCTCAGAATAAACACTTCTTGAGTCAACAATTTCGAACAAATTCTAATCGAAATGTCAGCCAATGCTACGCTTTAAACTCTTCAACCTCAATGTTTGCCTATTCTTCGAAGCATTTGAGAATGCAGCCTTATATTTATGTAGTTTATCCAAGTAACTGGCGAAAGTAACCTCACTCAAACTACAGCTGAAGAGAAACATTTTCTGTTTCAGGAGTAACTTAAATTTCCGAAACTGCAGTCATTATGAGTGGGTCAAAACAGTGTAAATAATATACAAGGCCAAATCTATTTCAAGTTTTATAAGGCAACAAAATGGAAAATAACACGTATTAAACTACACTTCTACCGAGCAGTACTCAAGGTCTCTGCTTCGCAGACAAATATAATTCCAGACAGGTCGAAAAATCGCAGCTTTTTATTCAGATTTGAAAAAAGCAAATCAAGATATGAATTTGAGGAAAGATAGTTGTATGCTTTTTTCCAACTAATTAGATATATTAGATACAGATACCGGAATAGAAAGTTTTCGAGACCAAAAATTCGAATCTGGGTACCTGATATATAAAAAAAAATTTCGTCTACCTGTCGATTCAGTTTTCAACAATTATTTGTGATAAAAGTAAACAAGAAAACTCTTTTAATTGGACCGCTATAATGTAATTTCAATATATACAATACCAATAGTAATCAATTCCTGAACAAAATTGCATTTGAACCGAACACGTAAAATTATACTTTCATTATAACTCAAATCCAGTCCTGTCTTTAAAGTTTTATTAACAGTCACGACATCTACTCTATCTCCCCGCAACACTACTATATTTGGACATTTTTGAATCAATTCACGCTGTGCTTCCTTCAGCACTTTTGATTCCCGAATTTTGTACAGAATCGCCCGAAGCTGTACCGACTGTCTCGACCGAAGATTTCGAACTCGTTGGCTTTTCTTTCTCTATTTTTCCAGTGGCTGTTGCGGATGTTTCAGTTTTGGTTTTTCCCCTACCCGAGCTACTTGAAGATTCGCTGGTCGTTTTCACTGATATCTCGCTTGGATTTTCTAGTCTAGACACTATTGCTGAATACTGGTTCATTTGCGTAACGGCCGCGTCTAGTAAAACTTGAATTTGAGATAGACATTCGATTCTCGCTTGCACGTTGCGTCTCTGATTTCCTTCCATCTGATTGAGCTCATCCAATGACATTCCCTGTAGCACACTTGAAAGGTCAGGCAGAGGGGTAAAAGCTGGGGGTGCGATGAAGGGACCAAAACCAGGAGTGAATTGCATTCGAGCGTTGGCGTTCGATGACGAGGCGTAATCGGGAGGCGACATTGCCGAGGATCCGGTTCGGGTTCCTTGAATTCCTTCGTTGGATACACCTGCAGCCGCTCCTGTTTGACCTCGAATCAAATTAATTCGGGCTCTCAAATTGTTAATATTATTCGCGTTATTATTATTATTGTTGTTGTTATTTACTCTCAAGTTCATAACAACACTTTCGTGTCTCAAAATGTCAATTCTGCAGGTAGGACATGTTTGCTGACGTTGGAACCAGGAGCGCAAACAGTGAGTGTGAAATACATGACCACATGGTAACTTCTTGAGGTTTGTGCTCATTTCTTCTCTGCAAACCGCACACAGATTGTCAGTCAAATCTTCAGCTGTCGCGTCTGTAAACATCGTGTTCAAATACCGAATAGCTCTTCGTGACATAATCACATCGTAACAAGCCTTTCTGAACGCCTTGAGCGACAAATACATAGGTCTGATAGCAAAGAGTGGGAAAGTGTGGATGACTACCATTATAAATAGAAACACAGAATAAATAACAACTTTGATCCCATTTGCAACCAATTCCATATAAAGAAACACAGCTGCTTTGTTTTCCAAGCTACTTTGGGTTCCCATGTCAATAACATGGACCATATATTTCATCGCTATCATCCAGGTACTGACAAGTAGGATTGAGTACTCGAATCCAAAAACCAGTTGGGCACTGGCACCTTTCGAGACTGTAAAATTGTAGGCCATCCTTATGAAAAACACATCGAAAAGCGAGAGAATGGTTATCAAGGTCACGACCCGAACGTGAAACTTCCAATTTATACTCAAACTTCGTTCCATCAAATCGATTCGGTCTTCGAGAAGCCAATGGAAACATTTAGCAACTAGTAGAACCGTAAACATGGCAACAAACCTCGACGAAAAATCGTCCCTGAAAACCGTAAATGCAAGGCATGTTTCGGTCAGCACGTACCAACCTTTCTCAATTAAATGCTCAACTTCCGTTTCTCTCAGGGTTCCAAAAAAAATAAAGCAGAGAATCTTCGCTGCGATCAGTGCCAACACAAACGCCTGCACATGTATAACCGCAATACTAATGGTAGATTTGGATAAGTACACAACGGAAGGGTAGAATTGCTGTTTCTGTAGAAATGCATTCCATACCACGACTGATGAACAGGCAAACGTGGTTAGTAGGACGACCCAGTAACGAGCAACGGGTCTTAAAGAGGAAACAAGTCCTCCTATGTTCGGCATTTTACACCCTTGGAAGTGTTTGAATGTCGATGAAGATGTTGCTACTAATATCTGAAAGAAGCATTGTTTCAAATTCTAAGTTCTATTATGTGGTAAGAAATAATTTGCTGCCTTCTGATTGGTCCACGTCAGCAAACCATTTGCATCATCAAATGAACTTCAGCTCGAAGAAAATGTATGTTTTAAAAGTAAGCGCAGTTCACTGCCTGCCTCAACGTTTACCTATTTATACTACAAATCTTTTAAAACTAACAATAGCAAGGCCATCGAAAACAGAACTATGCAATAGATCATATATCACTTAACTGCATGAAAAAACCAAACGATGAAAAAGTGGAGTCGCAGTGTGATTGATTTCAGATAAAAAAAAACAATTTAAACGGCATGGTTATGATTTCAATTTCCCTTTCCCATCTGATGAAAACTCCTTTCCATTTTATCGGCAACTTTTAATAAATCTCAATTTGAAGCATTTCCTGCCGTCAATTTTTTCTGTAACATTTTTTCCACTTTTAATAATCATTGCGAGCATTAAAAACACATTTTTTGTTTTCAATAAAAAAACAATCACAATGGAAAAGATACGTACTCCAATAACGCATACTATATCAATGTACTTGAAAACAAGTCATTCCGTTTTTTTAAAGGAACTGTTTTTGTCAGCAAACTTGGAACGCGGAAAACAAATTTCAAAGTGTCAGTTTTGACCTGATGTATACTTCAAGAGACTTGATGTATTCATCTTCCATTCGAGAAACAACTTCTTTCACGATTATTTGGCATTTTTGATATTATTACAATGCAAACAACAGGTCGGTTTTTAAGTAAGGACCAGTTTTTATTTTTGAATTTGTTTCACTGAATATATCGTACCTTGCCAATCATCAATCAAAAGCCAAAACAGCCAAAAAAAAAATTTTGATGTGTCAAAAAGTAGGTGCGTAAAAATCTGAAAATATTGATTGCTTTAATTATTGATCAGTAATACGGGTCCGAATGTAGAACTTCTTTTAACAAATGAACTGAAAAGTTAAAAAACGGCGTACATGAAAACTTACCTGGATCGTTAAGACCACAGATAATAGAAAAAAAATCTATTTTTTCCTCAAATAAATCTGTTTCTTATTAAGCGAGGGGCACTAGCCTTAGCGTCAAAATTAGTTATCAGAAGATTAACTCTAATATTTGACTGATACATATGAACGGGTAAATTTCTTGATTAGTCCAAAAACTAGAAGTCAAAATATAGCCAACAGGCAGTTGAAAAATTGTCAATGAAAAAATAAAATTGCAAAAACGACTCAATCTCAGAAAAACTGTCGCAAAACGAAAATACCCGCATTAAAAAAGCTTTTAATATTAACCTTTAGGCCAAAATAAAGGTAGTTACAGGACAATGCGCCGAAAATTACAACTAACTTTTACAGCACAAACGAACTGAATAATTTGAATAAATTATAATCCATTTGCGCCCTTCAATCAACACATCAACACAGTACAAATTGACTAAGACGTATGCTATACCATAAACATGAATCGAAACCGAATCGTAAAAAAATAGGAGAAAAATTAATCAAAATATGAATTGGGAAATTGAAAAAATAACAGGAAGACTGACAACTGTAGTCATAAGTGTTTAAAGAAAAATATCCATGATTCGGAAATTAAGCTGGCAAAAATTAAGCAGACAAACGAAAGTCTAGCTAGCAATTCAATTTTACTCGGCAAAATCGTTCAATGAAAAAAACATGGTCTGGCCGACACTCCAACTCTAACCTTAGGGCGCAAAGGCAACCGCATGAACTCTAGGCGAGAAGGAGCATGGAAAATATTCAGGTTCAACAAATCAATTTCCATTTCTTACAAATTTGTAAGAAAAGTTGTTAATGTTAACGGAGAAAAAGCCTAGTTCCCGATTACACTTGTCTCGCAAGTGTAATTACATAAAAGCCCTTCTAAGAACATTTAAGGATTTTCCTTTTTCCATAAAATTTATCAAATTTGAAAACATTGACACAGAGGCAAAGTGGAGCTTCGCAAAACTTGCGAAGCAAAAATCACATTGCGCTAAACATAATCAATGAAAAAAAAGACAAATTACTAATAAAAAAACTTAACAAAAATTGTAAAATTACAGCTACAAAACACCATATTTGTATCGGATGAAGTTCATAAACAGCCATTAAAAATGGAAGTCATTTACCGAGCGGCAACAAACGCGACAAACTTTAGGACGAAACAAGTTGAGCCGAGAACCAATCTGTTGTCATAAAAATTCATAAAATTTAAAAGTTTTTACGACCCATCCAAACTGAAACACTTAATAGGAAAAAGATATATTTTGCTCTCGAAAGTACGCAAAATATGTTGACTAAGTCGATAGAACAAACTGAAACTGTTTGAAGGGTTGGAAAAAACAAAAGAAAATAAGACATGGTAAATTTACAAATTTGTGAAGTTTCAGTTGTAGTAAAAACTTTTTATTTGGAACAAAACTCATGCTTTAAAAAATAAATCAAGAAAAATCTTACGAAGCAAAAACTTGCGAAGCAAAAATCACATTGCGCTAAACATAGTCAATGAAAAAAAAAGACAAATTACTAATAAAAAAACTTAACAAAAATTGTAAAATTACAGCTACAAAACACCATATTTGTATCGGATGAAGTTCATAAACAGCCATTAAAAATGGAAGTCATTTACCGAGAGGCAACAAACGCGACAAACTTTAAGACGAAACAAGTTGAGCCGAGAACCAATCTGTTGTCATAAAAATTCATAAAATTTAAAAGTTTTTACGACCCATCCAAACTGAAACACTTAATAGGAAAAAGATATATTTTGCTCTCGAAAGTACGCAAAATATGTTGACTAAGTCGATAGAACAAACTGAAACTGTTTGAAGGGTTGGAAAAAACAAAAGAAAATAAGACATGGTAAATTAACAAATTTGTGAAGTTTCAGTTGTAGTAAAAACTTTTTATTTGGAACAAAACTCATGCTTTAAAAAATAAATCAAGAAAAATCTTACCAGATAAAAAATGGCGGTAAAAACTGAAAATGAACCGACAAAAAAACTAGAACGAAAACCACGAACCCGATAAAAAAGATTGATCCTTTAAAGTGATCTCGTTGACAAAGTTATGGGGAAAAAATCTAGTATCGGGTTGCAATACCATTGCTTATCGCAAGGGTAATAAACAGGAAATTAGTTTATAACGCTGAGTTTTTTTTTATTAAAAGCACCTTTCGAAACTAGAAATCATCCACGTTGCTTCGCGTCATTCGCAAATGCCTTTCTTTTATTAAAATGTATCTGAATTGAACGTCCCAAGAAACAAAAGTCAAACCGCGCAAAATCATGTTTGAGAGGGAACAAACTTCAACACTTTTCCTGAAACGAAACAAATCAACACGATATTGATATAATCGTTTTTCTCGACGAGTAATTTTTAGAAACTCTTCATTACAATTTTTATTACTAATGCAAAGTCTTCCTTTATACGTCACTCCATCCATCCCTTATACGTCACTCCATTCATCCCTTCTACGTCACTCCATCTTATTACTTGTTTTCGCAAAAAAAACAACACAAACACAATGTTCAACCCACAACATAGTCCGGCAAAAAAGAGAACGCCATTTAAAAGCAACAGGCTTCTTCGATAAAGTAAAAAAAAACGACTAAACTCAATTGAAAATCTGGAAAATATAGCCGGAAAGACAGTTGGAAAAGATTTAATGAACCCAAAGAAACAGAAAACAAAAACTGACTTTTTTTGAAATGTCAACTTTCGAATGTTAAAGTTGAACATGTATGGCTTTGAATTTCAACAACAGTTTATGACTGGCACTTTTTTGTGTTGAAACCAACTTTGGGAAAACTTGATCAATAGGTAAAGTTACTATTCCGCTGAGAACCATTACGTTCATCGACTCTTGAGACTCTTCAAATAACTATCTCGCAATTGGTCCTACTTTAACATTTGAAAACAGCTAGCTTATTACGAATTTGAATTATTTTAGATCAGAATAAAATTTGTTTTGGAATTGAGAAATATTCGGAAGAGATGTGATATTCGATTATGTGACCAAAGCGAAAACTCAATCAGTTTTCGTAAAATGATATTTAATTAAACAAACTCTGTAAATATAAACAATAAATTAAGTAATTCTAACTCATCAAAATTAATACCCTTGCAAGGCGACTCTGAGCAAACTAAAATAAGAAGCCCTTTTCCGAACTAAGATTGCCTGAATCCAAATCCAAATTTTCCGGGCTCAGCTATGGTCCAAATAACTCTAGCACTCTATAACTATTTAACAATCACTGTCGTCTAGCCATGGCTGTTTTCTCAAGTAGTCTGCAAACAGCATTCTAGCATGAGAAAGCACTTTATGCACATCATGACTTCTGACTAGTCTGAAAAAGTTTCCGCTAACTTCTGTGATATCCATTTTTCCTCCAATTATTTTCTGTTTCTGCTGGACAATTAAAGTCACACACATGAATAGCAGAAAAGGATTGCCGCATCCGAACTCTGCAGGAGGCGGGAGTTTTGGTTTAGTCTGGGTCGATTCTTCCGTGTTTAGCGAAGCTAGACTACTAACTTGCGCACTACTGCTTGTGCCTTCTTCGTATGAAAACACTTCGCCTTTTTGTTTCTTCAGGCTGTTTGGACTTACTTCAAGATCACTTTTAGCCCTCTTCAGCTCAACAATTCCAGGCGACAATGATGACGAACTCCGACTAGTGTTTAACACCGATGACTTTTGGGATAGCGGGTAGGAATTCAGGAGTGCTTTACCTCCAATGGCAGCTCGATCACTGGCAGTTTTCGAAGATGTCGGTAGTTGATCTGCTCCATCATTCTCTGTAATATGACCATTACATTCATTGTAAGACTCTGTAGTACCGAGATCAGACGTTTCCCCTTCGCTCAAGGAGTTAACCGCTTCATTGTCTAGTACCGGACAGGACAACGAGTGGTTCATTTTGTGACCATTTTGCACATTATTATTATCAACATGATTTTCCATAAGACTTGGCGTTATTTGGTCCAGCGAAGATTGCTTTGGAATACCCTGTGACTCTTTCAAAAATGGAAATCGTTTAACATTGTTATTCAGGGGCGTGCTCTGAGCCTGATTAGTTGGAGCTAAAATATCGGATCGACCGCTGCTCTGCAAATTATTAGAGTTCATTTCGCCATTAACATTTTCAGCTCTGTCCCAAGCGCTGTTTTCAACGTTTTCGTCACAAGAGTTTGAGCTGCGCAGTGATCCATTTTCGTCCAACGGCTGCTTTGAGCTTAGATGGGCAAAATGTGATTTGCTACTACTTGGCACTTGGGTTTTGACGTTTTGTTCCATGCTCCAGTTTAACAAATCCTGATTTGAAGCATCTAAGGCACTCAGTCTATTCACCAAAGATGCATCCAGCATTTGATGTGATGATGCGGATCCATTAAGACCTGAGGATGACACTGTTGTCGAATTGCACTGGTTTTCTAGATCAGCCACTATTGGTTCGTTGGCTAGTTTAATATCAGTGTCAGGAGGGTCTGGAGGGATTGAGGCCCACATGACCTCCAGCATCAGGAGGGCATCGTCCAATGCAAATTCCCGCTTCATCTCGAGGAGTAGCCACCTAAGAAAGTTTTTCTTAAATGTTAACAAACACAAAATTAAACAAAGCCAAGTGACAGTTGGAAAAGAGGAATGAAAAAACTGACTTGTTTTTGAAAAACCCTCAACTTTCGATTTTAAAGAAAAAATATATACCCTTAAAGCTCTTCGAATTTCACGAACAAATCATGATTGGTTTTTTTTTGAAAGAACTAACCCAATTTGAGAAAAACGATTTTTAGAAAAAGTTTTCATTTCGCTGGGAAAGCTGATAATTAAAATCCATATCGGAACTTAGAAGTCGATCACGTTTTTAGTGCCCTTTACATGTTTGCTAATAGATAGTGGAGTTTGCCTTCCTTTTAACAAAGGAAATGAAATGAACATAAAATAAATCAAAAGGAAACCCGCGAAAAATCAGATCTAGGCAAATTTTAAGACTTTTTCCTGAAAAAAAAAACAATTGAATCACCCAGACCATGTAGGAGTAATCACTACGTTCATTATTCTTAAACAAAACCAACAGACAAATTTTTTCTGATCAATTTTGACCGGTCGAGTTTTAAAGAAAATAAGATATCAACCAAAAGTTCTTTGATTTTGATGAACATTTTAAGAGACAAGTTGTGAATAAAACTAATCCAAATTGAGACAAGGCTAGCCGGTTGCTGTGAAAGTAGTACAGATTGTTTTCATTTTTTTCTTTTTCTTTTTCAAATTATGGTCCTTTTTTGGAGTGTTGAGATAAAAAGATCTGACGAAAGCCGAGAACTTGAGCATATTCAACAATCACAGTAAAACAGGCAAATTGAAGATTAATTTTGTCAAAAAAATACCAAAAAAAAACCATTAAAAAATCCAAAACTTTCGTTTTCTATTTTTTTTAGCAAATAACTGAAATTTGGATTGCTGAAATTTTTATTCCCGAACCGCGCTTAAAATGAACATTAAAATTTCATGGCCAATATTTCGTAAAAAAATTCTGCTTGCTTGCTTTAATCGCTCGAAATTGAACTAAAACTCAAAAACTTTAATATCAGTTTATCTCAACACTAGGTCAACTATTTGAAGTTTTTATGATGTCGTTCAAATCAATTCTGAAAGGGCTTTAATATGATATATCACTCGACCCATTCCGATAATTATTTGTGGTACCTAATTTTGAGAGGAAAAAACTAAGACACACCCAAATACAAAAATCCTCTCCATTTTTCAAATGACCGAGAAAATAACTGGATCAATAGTTAACATTTTTATTCAGCTGGCAATTCTGAAAATTAAAATCCATTTTTTAGAAATTGGAACTAATTCAAATTTTTATGTTCAATTTAAATTACTAGTATTCGAGAGCGGAATTTGCCTTCTTTCAGCAAGTGAATATGAAAAGAGCCTTAAAAAATTCAAAACCATCTATGCAAGTAATTTAACTACATTGAATGACACTTAATGGCAGCCTTGACTACCCATAAACTGAAAACCAGTGAACCTAAAAAATAGGAATGTGGCACGTTTCGCCCCTCTTAAATTTAGTGGCACATTTTGCCCCTAATATCTTACACACAAAATGCCGTAATAAATGTGGGGCGAAATGCCTGAGGGGCAAAACGTGCCACTAAATATGTAAGGGTCGAAGCGCGTGTAGACCAAAAAATAGAAATGGTCGCAAAAAATTAGCTACATAACATTTTTCTAAAATTACAACAATGAAACTTTCATAAAAGATTCTGGCATTATACCTGTAGCAAAAGAAGAGTTCGAAATTATTGTCTGCTCCCGAAGACAAGTAATCGTAGAACTCTTTGTCGACATATCTGAGAAGTAACTTAAGGTGCTCGAACTTAATATGCATGGCACGCGAATCCACAGTGAAGTTCTGCTGGAGTCTACGCATTAAGGCACAGAAGCACACATAAGTCACTGCCTCGTCTTGCATAATGAGCAAAAGTGGACTGGCTAAATCCGACATTCCCTGACAGTAAGATATCTGCGGAAACGACATCGCAAATGTCATCAGAATGTCGAACAATGATGTCAAATGAGGATTGGTTGGTGTCTTTTCGAAATCTATTTCTATATCCGAGAAGAACGCATGTGATCTGTCCGTTCTCAGAACATCTTTTCGAATACTAGAAACAACTGACTTTTTGTTTTCCCAATTCATTTGTTGCCAGCGTTTTTTCAGCCGATGATACTCGTCGCATTTTTTCTTCATATAGTCGTATCTTTCGGCCCCTGTGAGCAGTCGAGGTTTAGTAGGGTAGACGTTTAGAAGGTGTTTCCACACCACTTTTCTAAGCGAGTGCTCAACCCCGATTTGGTAAACTAACAATCGCAGTTCATCTGGTTTAACTAGGCACCCTTCTTCGTCCAGATAATTGCGGAAGTCGTTGTCTTTCAGCGGAGGCACAAGGTATCGGAAGCTAAAACCAGATATATCGACCATCATCAACGAAAGAAGTCACTAAGGTTTGAAGGAAACCTATGTTCAAACGGTAACACTTCATCAGCAAAAATTTCAAAATCCAACAAATTAACATTTCATTCGACAATTTACGAGCTAAGGCAGAGGAAAATGAACCAAGCTAGACTAAGCCAACAGCTAAAGCCATCAACTTTTGATTACTCATATTTACAAAAAGATTGGTTTCAAGTACCAAAGTCATCAAAATGGCACAAAAAATCTGAAACAGAACCCACCAGAGAGTTGGAAAAAGTACTGACTTGTTTTTTTGAAAAAATCTTTCGAAATTCAAAGAAAAAATAGATGCCCTTAAAGCACTTTTAATTACCCTTTTTTGATAAAACTGACCCAATTTGAGAAAACTGGATCAATGAATTTTTTATTTCGCTGAGAAATCTGAAAATTAAATTCCACGTTCGAAAATAGAAGTCGATCACGTTTATCGTGACTTCTCAACTTTTGGTGTTCGATACTGGAGTTTGCCTTCCTTTTAACAAAGGAAATGAACTGAACTTACTGAGAAATCGAAAGTCAAACCGCGAAAAAGTAAAATTGAACAAATTTTGAAACTTTTCCTGAAAAAAAAACATCGCCTCTTAAAAACTGGTACAACGTAACCACAAATCTCTTAATATTTTGTCACTGTCAGCATCACTTAGGTAAAAAAAAAACACAATCGCAAACTGTCACCTTTCAAATTGTAACTCAATAGATATTTCATCTTAGCGTCGAAGGAGACGCAGCGATAAGAGCAAGGTTTAAAACCAGATGACATGAGACAAAGCTAAATGCACATCTATTTTTTCGGCAAAACAATCTAAATTTGAGAGAAGTGAATCAGTAGGTAATTCATCTTTTTCGATGCGATTTGCGAACATTAAATTCCTTTTCAGTTTTCACTTAGATTAATAGATTAGAAAATTAAATTTGCCCTCTATTTCCTATATGAATTTGAAGTGAACTGAGAGAAATCGAATGTCAAACAGCTAAAAAACAACAAAATTCAGCGTGAGCAAATTTTATGATCTCTTTCTGAAAAAAAAAGGAATTTTGCATAAATGAGTGAAAATTATAGCCAACATTCATTGCATAAGAACAAAAAACTGAAAAAAATTGATTAAAATCTGGACCAAGTTATTATTCCGCTCCCACAAACCCATTTAAGGGGAAGGATGTTAATATGGTTCTGAGTTCGAACTTTAAGCTAGTCAGCAGAGCATTTTACACGCAGCGCTTAGCAACATTAATTTAAATTGAAAGCTGGGGCTGAGGATCTTAACCTAGTACACCAAATTAAAACTCTTCAATTTTTTTTGATTGCCACTTCAAGACTTGTTGGCATTTTTTTGAAGTTATTCTATGAAAAGACAACTGGATAAAAAAGATTTCTTTTTATTCCGCTGAAAATTCTGAATTTGCCTTCTTTTTAAAAACGAAAATTAATTGAACTTTAAAATGGATCAAAAACCAAATCGCCAAAAATCAAGGTAAGATTTGAGGGTCCAAAATTGGCTTTCATACTAGGCGATCTAATATATTTTGGCATATTTCTAGGAGTACTTTCACATGAAGCAATATGGACCGAGATAAGAGCAATAAGAACAAAATTCATCCTACCAAAAACAGACGGTTTTTTAAAACAACAAAAAATGAAGAGAACTGAAGGAAATTATAATCACATTCAAACCTAAATAATTTCGGCTAAATAAAACAGCTTAAAAATATTTAAACAAATTATATATTTATGCAGAAATTTGACTGTTTCGGTAGCTTTAAGTCCTGAAAAGAGGCATAAACCTCAATGAAGTTAAAATTGAGAAAAAACTGAAAAATTTTTTCTTGGAAAACAACCATCAAGCTGGTAAGAAAACCGAAAAAAGTGGCAAGAAAACCGAAAGAATAGTTTTAAAACGGACGTAGATATTCAACACACCGAGTCTGCCACTCATGATGATAACTGCCGACAAAAGTATATGACAATCACGTATTGGAAAAAGTTACAACGAAATTACACTAAGAACCAAATATAAATAAGCCGATAGAAAAATGGTAACGTGTAAACATTGCCAACTGACAGTTGAAAAAAAGTATTGAGCGCAAGGAAACTGAAAAAAAATGACACGTTTTTGAAAAACCTTCAATTTTCGAATGTTAAAGAAAAAATATATACTCTTAAAGCTCTTTGAATTTCACAAACAACTTATGATTGGTTCTTTTTTGATAAAACTAACCCAATTTGAGAACACTGATCATTAGAAAAAGTTTATATTTCGCTGGGAAATCTGATAATTAAATTCCATTTCCGAACTTAGAAGTCCATCACGTTTTTAGTGTCCTTTAAATGTTTGCTATTTGATAGTGTAGTTTGCCTTCCTTTTAACAAAGGAAATAAAAACTTAAAAATCAAAAGGAAATCCGCGAAAAATCAAAACTTAGCGTGAACAAATTTTAAGACTTTTCCTGAAAAAAAACTTAAAAAATCAGCAAGACTTTCATTACTCTTAAAAACTGTCAACAAGATTTTTAACGGAGAAAAAGTTAATAACCAGTTGCAAAAACCTTTGTCCTATCGAGTGGGAAAAAACATTGAAATTTGAAGCATTTTAAACAGAAATCAGCCAAATTGAGAAACCTGGATAATTATGTATGTTTTTAACAATCCTGGTATCATTCGAAACTAGAATCGCTTCTTTTTGATGCTGAAACGTTGTTGTTTGCTCTATTTTCACTTTTATCTTGGATTGTTTTCAAGAGTTCATTGAAACACACAAATTTTCAAGTGTTTTTGGTGAATGAAACCTTTAAAATAACGCAGAGAAGTCGGTTGCTGTGCAAGTAGTAGTGTTACAACCACATTTATCTTAGCAAAAAGTCGACTGCAAATTACGGAACTTGTCTAAAACAATTTTCAGACCAATTGTGCTGTAAATTGGTGTAAATCGCCGGAAAATCAGACAAATTTTTCTGGACACAGACAACATTTATATATTTTTTGGAATCCGAATCACGACTGTCACGGACTTACTATGATAACACATCCGAACTTAAAACACATTAAGCAATAGTTCCTTTCCACATCGAGAAGTGGTCGGAACAACAATCAATTTACTACAATTTACTAACAAGAAACTACAATTGTTAGTATGAATACAATAATTCAATTGCAAATAAATTCTGTCGCACATGTCATTTTAAATCCACATAATAATCAATTGAACTCATACTTGTGAGATGTCGAAAATATTTTGGTATTTGCTTGAGAAAAACGACTGAAAGACAATTAAAGTCACATCACCCAGGTACATTAATTACAAAAGAAATGAAACCTGAGTAGAAACTAACCCGTGGTCTCTTTTGTCGCCCATATTGAGAGCCCTGGTCATTCTACTCAAGGTCTCCTCCAAGGGGTTCTGCAGCAGACTCTTTGTCTCCCCCGGACCAGGCGCCCCTGCGCCAGTCCTCGTGTCCCCATGCACGCCCTCCAGTCTGCGTCTGTTCGGTGATAGGGGGGAGGGGGAGTAGGGACTATTTCTGTAGTAACTCACATCTGAACTCTGAATTATGTCCCAGTCGTCCAGACCTGAAACAACAAGTAGACATACAGATACAGCACTTGACTCAAATATTGTGAACATTAGCAAAATCGGGCAAAACACAAGATTTTGCTTATGAACATTGAAAAGTTTTTTGTATGTTACAGCATTCAACGAATTATAGTTTGCGATGAGATTAGTCACACGAGAGTCAAACAAGGAGGTGAGTAAGACAAGGGTTGAACAAATGCTATTATTGCCGACACCATGCCCTAAATTGGTATGCAAAGCAATAGCAGATTTGGAAATGAAGATCAGACCCCTGCGACAACCACTAGAGTCTATTCGAAACAGCTTCTTTATTTTCATCTGTTCGCAAGGGGTCAATTGTTTGCTCCCCAAACCTTAGAAACTCTAGAGTTGTTCACAACTTCTCCGTAATTATGACAAGAACTTCGACTCTTTCAGGGCACATTTTGCAGAAAGTCTTCAAAACTTGGCCAGAAGGGCTTGATGTAGATATTGCAGAACTATCCACTGTAAATTTTTGAAAATCATTTAGCGAAAAACTCTACACCTAGCATAGTGGCAGGCGTTCACTTTCAGAGCGTTAGATCGGGTATTCAACCTCCTGCCACGGCAAGGATAGCATATGAGGACTAGCTCTCACTTTACCACTAGCTTCTGAACCACGCACCCCCAAATCAGGAGGTGGCCAAATTCCTATATCGGTCTCGTGACGAGAGACAAGGGGAAAAAGATATGCATTAAATTCAACCAACAGTTTACTCCACATGCAAACAAGTGCAAAAAACAAAAGAGGGCATTTACGCGTAGGATCAAACAAGTTGAATTAGAAAAAGTACAAATTTATTTGGAAACAGTTCAAGATGCAATTTAAATCATTAAAAAATTATTATTTACTTAATATTGGATCCAAAAAAGGCTGAGCTACCGACCAATTTCATTGCTTTCCCAGTTAAAATTTTTAAAAAACCACCAAGAACAGCAATACGGATAAACCATGTCAAATAACACTAATGGTCGCCCTAGACTCGACTGTAGCCATAAATGCTGTTGATTACCATCTACTCAACAATAACGTCAGCTCAAACCTATCTAAAAACACCAAAAAATGGATTATTGCATATCTTCACGTAAGGTACACTTATGTAAAATTCAAAGATGCCAAATCAAATGCAGGAACGTAAACACAAGATGACCCACAAGGTGATGCGCTATCCTTGGTTCTATTTAATTTGTTTGTCCAAAATGCCTCAACCCACCAACGATAATATCAAGATACCTACAAATGCAGACGAAATAAACCTCACGACACCTGGTCCCAATATCAAAAGTTCAACAGAAATTAAGAATCTGTATCTGGACAGCCTCAACATTTGACTCAATATCAGAAATTTTTCTCTAGCAAAAGAGAAATCAACACGGTCTATTATTCAACATGGACTAATGAGTTTTTGCTTGCTTGAACCAAGTTACATTTGACAACTATAAAACTTTCATGAGCATTGTATTAAAACTTGCGACAAGCTCCAAATACGACATAATGTTCTTATAGAACTTGTTGGTACAAATTGGAGTTGCTGACTGTTACGTCTAAGGAAATTTTAAAGGAGTGTCTTGAACTATGCAGCTCCCTTTGGACCACCACACTTAGTTATACCAACTGGCAGCAGCCTTCAATGAAACAGAACAATGCACTAAGTACACCAACAAAACGAAAATCCTTCCGGTCCGAACAAAATGAAAAAATCTCAAAGCATTTCCTTCTTGGCTGCTATTAAGATCATAGAGCCGACCATCACACTTTTTATAACAAAGGATTCAATCAAAACATAGGACCCATCCTCGAACATAAGTTGAAGCCCGACAATGTAAAAAAAGCTTTCCTCAACAAAACAACCCATTCTAAAACCAAACTTAGATAACCAAAAGCACGCTAGAAACTTTTATCATTCATCATACTTCAACGCACAGACTCTTACAGTCACTTGCCATTAAAAAGAGCCGCATTATTTTCATTGTTAGGCATATCGTCCCATTTTCTGACCAACTTCGAAGTGGTAACAATCGGAACTGAGATGTAACGACTGGTGTCTGTTGCTTCCGAAATCTCCGAGCTCTGAGTCATCACTTCCCAGGCACTCGAAGCTTCCGAAGACACGGATTCCCCCACTTGGGTTCCACTTTCACTTTCGAGTTTCATCGGCGAGAAGGTCGAAGTCAATCCATGATATGCATTTAGAAACTCCCTGCTTATGTCATATCGAAAAAAGAGATCGCTATCTTCTGCTTCAATTGGCACTGAACTCCTGATATCACTCTGGAACCCTGTTTGTTCGCCATCGTCGTCCCAATCGGTCATAATGCCATCCAGGGTGTCGTTTCCCAGCGATACACTACGGTTCCAATCCTCATCAGGAGAAAGCAAATAAATACTTGATTTCTGGGAAACATCTGACACGATTCCTGAACTGCATGTAGTAGGATCATCTCCTAGGCAACAGTCAAACTGATCCCCGCAATCATTTTTTGGATTCTCTTGTTCTGTGTCATCTCCGTCGGGTTTAACGAACAGGACAATCTTCTCCCACAGACTTGATCCGAACGATGAGAACTCAAATAAATCTGCTTTAGGTGTTTCATTTCGACTAGTTTTCTGGTCAACAATGTCCATTAGCTCAAAACTTTGGAGTTATTCTGATTTAATCAGAAACAATTAAAAACCAAGGCATTAACACACGCGCGACTCATGTAGTAATTTTAAGTGCAAAACAACCTTGATCTTTTAGTAAAAGAAAAATACCAATATAACTTTTTGATTCTGGATAAATAAGTTTATGGAGATAAGTTTAAGAAAATAACAAGGACAATATAAAAAAATCAGTACATTGTTAATGACCCCAATATCAACTATTTTGGAAACTATGTTCAAAACTGATGCGATGTGGAAATAATACCAACACTTACACAAAGTGATGAAAATACAATAAAGCTCAATTCGTTTGAATAAATACGAAATGCAATGACAGTTAACAAATCTCTCTTCAAACAAGTTAAGTTATTAGAAAAAAAAAACAGAAAACAATAATAGAATGGAATTCTCAATTGTGTACACCATATGGCTCACTTGTTTTTTTTCCTTCAAAATAAATTCTATCCAAATTTGCCAAACAGTAAATTTGAGCTACACTCCGAAAAGAATTTTAACAAGGAAAAATGGACAAAAAGTTCCATCATTTCGACCAAGATCAACCACTTGATACATTTTTACACTCAAAGACACTGAAGAGCAGACTGAACTTTAAAAAAAATAAATGGAAAAGCGGATAAAATTTAGAAAGACTCAAATCAAAAACATAGTCAAGTTTTCCCACTGACTAGTTTCACGTATGAAAGGAAGGCAAAAAAAACAAGTAAAAAACTTTCGAAATCCAAAAAATGACCTCAAAGCTCTAGAATTCCAAGAACAATTTATAATTGACACTTTTGAAACTAGAAGTCGATTACGTTTTTCATGACTTTCAACTTTTGCTGTTCGATATTGGAGTTTGCCTTCCTTTTAACAAAGTAAATATACTGAACTTAAACAAACATAAAGGTCAAACCGCGAAAAAGTAAATTTGGCCTGAACAAATTTTAAGACTTTCACGAGAAAAAAAAATTATCATGACCTATATAAGAGTCTAAACTACGTTCATCGACTCTCAAAAAGTAAATTAATTTTCGGGGCATCGTTTCCGAGCGATACACCACGGTTCCAATCTTCATTTGGTGAAAACAAATAAATAGTTGACATCTGCCACGATTCCGACGCGAATTTTGCCAATCTTTTCGCAATGAAATTGAATTAAAGTCAAAAAGTTGAAGAATAATTGAGGGCATTCACAAATGCATAAGTATGAATGCACTTCTGCGGTTGTTAGATCATTAAGACTTTCCTGAAAAAACCACCATGAAAATCATTACGACCTATATAAGTTCACGTTTTCCCAGGAATGGAAATCAAAAATTTCTGCTAGGGTCAGATTTCCACAATTTTTGGGCTGTTTTGTTGTCAACTGGACATCTTATGTGGATTTTAAGAAGTAGCCTAGATACGGCATGCCATTAAATCAGACTTACCAATAATCTACATAAATAGCTGCTTTTACCTCACATAGCCAACAGACCATTGAAAATCGGAAAAAACTCAAATTGAAAAAAAGTACGAAGAACAAACTAAAAACATTAGATTGATGTAAAGCTCTATCAATATTAAGAAACTCTTATAAGTGATATTTCAAAACAATGTGACAAAATCGGATTGAAAGGTTAATTTTATTTTAACTCAGTTAGGAATTTTCTCAACTCAGATTTGAAAGTATGCAGGACGATCAATTTCTGGCACAATTTCGACAGTTATTGCAAAATTCGATGAAACTAACGAATTGAAAATTAGGACGGAAATAACTTGCACAATTTTGACAGTTATTGCAAGAATCGATGTGATTAACGAATTGAAAATTGAGACGGAAATAACTACAGAAAATACTTGAAAAAAATCTGATTTAAACCCCAAATTCAGAAAAACAACCGAGAAACAAAACTTCTAGCATTGAAGAAGCTTTGAGCAATTATAAAGCGGCCACTGAGCCAACAATATTATGGCAGAAAAATTTTGTCCATAAAATTTCTTACAATATGTTTTGCAGCGATCAATCCATTTCGCTTTTCAAATGACACAAAAAAAGGATGAATGACGCATCAAGCTAAAAAAAGGAAAATATATAAAACTAGGGCTAATGAATTTACAAATTACAGAGATAAATCAAAAACACTTGCAACTAAAATGAAAACTACTTACAGTTTAAGAAAATTCCGTGATGTTGCAACTAAGCCAACAAAACATAAGCAGACAAACGAAAGTTTGACGACTCCATTTTCCCCCGGAACAATAAACCCATACATTGTACAAGAACTGGCTGGGACTCAAGCCCCGCACCTCAGGGTGAAAAGGCAACCGCATTAGCTCCAGACCAAATAGGAAGTTATCAAATGTCGAATATTAAAGCAAATTAAATTTTTTACAGATTTGTAAGAAAAATTAATAACGGGACAAAAAGCCTAGTTCCCGATTACCAGACACTAGCTCTCGCCAGTGTTACAAAATTTGAAAAATGATGTTGCTCAGGTTATTAAAATGTTACAAATTTCAATAGACCTCCGAGCAAAGAGGCACTTAGCCCAATGGTAAACGATTTTTGCTTCAGTAGTATTACTACACAAAAAAGGGTCTCAGTCGCAAAAAGCGCCTCAAGATGCGTAAAAAACCATAGCTCAACAAAATAACTGTCTTGTATGGGTTGAAATCATAGGAACGGACAAGATTAACAGAATCTGATAGATCCTGCGCGATTCGTAGAATCGAAATTATTAATACTTTGAAAAAAATTCTGAGATGTTATAATCTACTTTTTGTTGGCGACCGTGATATTTAGTTTTCCTAATTAAGATTTTATTTCATACTAGAGTTAAATTAGTATTAGAATATCAGCCATAATTATTTTTAGTAATTCGGAAAAAGCAGATATGAAAAAAAACATAACATGATAGCCAAACTATGCTTGGAAGTCCCGGAGTATTCAACCATATTCAAAATCTTACCATTGCTATCCAACCACTTCTCTTCTTCACAATCATGCAATATGGGGTCATATTCTAGTAGCATTAGGTGTTTAATCAAGTGCGTTTTAAAGTTCTTCTGGTAACTAATCACTCTTGCATCATTTATTACATCATCGCCACTATCATCACTACCCAGATCTCGTTTATGTGACGCCGTGGTCGAAAAATAAAGTCTCAAATGACGTTCTTCCTCTTTTTCTTCACTGCTCATTTTTATATCTCTAGTTGAATTTTGGTTGAAATAAGTTGAAAACTGTGGCAAAGGGAATTTGGAACGCAAAGTTGAAGTCTCATACAAGTTCTGCATAGTGCCAAGTGGCAATAAGTTGAAATACGCGTTGAAATCACTCGTCATAGTTTTCCAACATGGAAAAGATTATACAACGAAAACTTATTAAAATAAAAAATATGAAGGACGAAAAAATAAAGTAATTTGAAGTCCAAAAATGAGCGCATAAGACCATTTGCACAATTTGTCATAAACTGTCTAACTGAAACGAAAAGGACAACTGGCTTTGAGTTTATCATCATGCACCAAAATAATTTTTGATTATTTGATGTGTTGTGCAGTATTGAGTACTGCAAATACTGTCACAAAACGCATTCTACTTTTAACATTAGCTACATTGAGACACGTTTAAAGCACAAGTTACATGATTAGTAGTTATATGAAGTCGATTATTCTAATACTCTAAAAGCTGTTCGACGAGAAGTTTTTTGTCAATAATTCAATGACAAAAAGGTTTAAACCGATCCATTTCTCAAAGAAAGGTAAAGGTTACAAAGACCAAGCAACATCCGACAAACAGTTGCGAAAAAGCTCTTCAGCCCAACAAAAGGGCCATTTCTAAAACTTAAATTCAAGCCTGAAACCAAGTCGAGCCCAAGTAGGAGAAAACTCAACAAATCGAACTTATGTTAAAAATCCTACCTTTTATTTAATTTATGTTGCAGCCCGGACTTTTAATTTATTCTGCAGCCCGAAATTTTCAATAACGTGCACTTTACCAGATGTTCAAATGCATAGAAAATGCATAGAAAAACAGAAACTGTAGCATAAAGAGATATTTAAAGGCTTTGAATCGATTTCAGTTTTCTCAAAAAAGTTCATTTACCACTTAAATGCCATTGACGCTTTTCAAAACAAACACCCAACCCAAAAATTTCGCACAAAAAATATCAGTTGCTGTTTTAAAATAAACACAATTGAAAGTGATGATAGGAATGAGCCTTTTGGGACACCTGTTCTCAAACCTAGAGGATAACAGTGCATCCCTCGATATTGTTTAGCTTGACTACCATTCAAATAGTTTGATAGCCATTTGGTTGAACTTCGCGGTGCGCTGATGATTTGAAGAATACTCAGAAGACTGCGATGACAGACCATGTTGAAAGCTTTAGATAAGTCGAGCGTGGACAGAACTGTTTTTATTGGGGGCCTTTGTTCTTTTAAACGGTCAATAAAAAAATCATAGATTGACAAATCCGTAGCAATGAGTGCATCCGGCAGAAGCTACGTTGATGGTCGGTTTCTAGATGCTTGGTTAGGTGAATAAAGATTCAAAAACTCCGCATTAAATAGAGACGGCAAGAGGAATCTGTTTTTTTTTCTTCTGAAGTTTTCATAGTTTCGATACTGTTTTCCACTAGCAGCGCTATGCGACTTAGTGAGTCAGCTTTCCTCTTTGTTAAATTTCACGAGGAGCAAAAGAAACCTCTTCGCCAATCAGAAAAAAAAACATCGGCATGTTCAACAACAGCTGTTTTCTCTAGTTCCAGTTTAGTTTTCTTTTTTGGAGCTCTCCGACCAGCTTTTGAGCTTTTTTCAACTACTTGTCGGCATCAGTGATTTTCTTCTTGAGCACACCAGGCATGTGCTATTTAACCACTCCCAGTTGTTCACGAGCACCATTTGCAACCTCGTGTTGGATACGACTTGCCTTAGAAGCAATTTTCATCTTCTTGACGTAACTCTGCAGCTTTTGACATGAACAACGATAACTCGCCTGAAAACTCCAATTTGTTTTGCTTGAACAGTTCAAAAAGCAAAAAAGACCCAGCCAAAACCGCTAATGTGGCAACTTAGTCTTTCATCTTGATAACATCTAAAATAAAACTTTAACGTTAAGAGTTAACGTTTCAAGGTTGGAATAAAATGTTCCGCTGTTGCTCAACGACTCGTATTTTGGTATCTTAGGAGACTTATTTTCAGCTGTACTTCACTGCATTTCCCCAAGTCAGTTCGAATTTTGTCAATGTCTTCATCTGAAATAGTATGCAAATACTTTACTAATTCCTGATTTGTCATTGAAATTGTCAAGTTTTTCGTTGTA